AGAGCTAAGTCATCTACATGGGATTTCGTCTGCTACACTCGCGCAAAGTGTCCTCAACCGATTAACAGCCCAAGAAAAAGTACATGAATTTGATCCTTTAAAACTCCCATACTATGTCGGGATATCTTAAAATCTTCCATATTTAGCCTTTTCAATTTCAAATTAAGTTATCCAAGTTAAAATATGGACGTATATGATTGATAAAAACGTTGTAGTCCCGTAGTATTATTGCGCAATTATGCAAATTACTGCCGAAACGATTTACCGCTGTCGAAAAAATAGGACAGCAAATTATACTATAATAAAGGTGTAAGCTCTGAGTTCCAAGAAATTATTAGTAGGAAATAAATATTTCTACATTATACAAAACATTATTATTAACAAATCAAAAGTTTTTTGGACTCTAGAATAACTCGCGCATTAATAAAAGAAGAACTATTTTCGTGACTCATACCGCGGGTTTAGCTGAATATTCAGCAGTTATTAATAAATTAGATACATTTTCTAGGTCACGATATGAGTTAACCTTCGCTATTCTAAAAATAGATTCTGCTTTACCTGTGCTGATTTTCGGACAGTAGGGAGTACACATTATACATGTTATAAACCAGCGGATACTTACTTTGTTCACATGCAATACTTTTAGAAATTCTATACAATTGTAAGAAGCAAACAAGTTGAAAATGTAATTTAGTGTGAAAATGAAAAGGACAACTAAACACTATAGTGCTTTTAAAAAAAAATTGTGACATTTAGATTAAAATAAAAACGATGTGCTCTGGCCCTTGCAAATAAAAGAAATCTAAAAAATACGGTGACTATTAATTGCTGATGATTTTAACCAAAGATATTTTTAATGAGACGTACATATCCAAAAGAAATAAAAATACAAATGACTTATATTTTATTGTCTATATGCCCACTATGTTAAAACACGAAGCAATTCTAAATAACATTCTCACATGTATAATCACGGATTTATCCGTGGTATAATGTATTATGCTTGAAGTCTATTTGCATGGTTTTATTTTAGAAATATGTCGTTGAAAGTTTTTTTTTCCATTTACATATCATTTCTTGGAATAAATCGATAATGACACTGATTTACAAGTTTGACCAGGGTTTTAGGCATATATTTCATTCTGCTTGAAAGTAGAAAATCTGGATTATATCAGATTGGGACACAAAATATATTGCTCCTTGTATGGAACAAATTTTCTCTGTTATAAATTCCTATATTTTGTGTTTTATTTTTTTTTTTCTAAATAACCCTAAATGTCTCCCCGGTTGCATGTCCGTCGCATTCAGTGCTGCAGCACTTTGATTTGTTATTATAAAAATAGACAGAGAGAGAGAGAGAGAGAGGGAAAATCAGTTATAACCCCTGGCAGAGCCCCGGTAGACGTCCGGGGTGATCCGGGAACGACCGGGGTACAACCGGGAACACCCGGAGTACATCCGTAACTCTGCCGGCAACGTTCGGGATGATCCGGGATGATTCCGGAATATCCGGCATTCGACCCCGGATGGAATAAAATATTTAATATCGGGATGATCCGGGAAGGTATAGCTTTGCCGGCTTCATCCTTAGCTCTGCCGGGAACGACCGGGGTTATACCGGGGAAGCACGGTAGCTCTGCCGGCACAAACCGGGGATGATCAGGGGTATGATATAGCCGGTAGAGCTACGGTAGAGCCCCGGTATATGCCGGCACAGCCTCGGTAACTACAGGCAGAGCCCCGGAGGATAAAGGTAGAGCTACGGTTGATCCCGGTAGAGCCCCGGCAAAGCCCGGATCATTTCAAATGAATAACGACAATTTGAGATGATTTCACTTGTTTGTATTAAAACCCTTCCCATTTCCCTTCTATCCAATATGGCATAAGGATTTTTCAGAAAATCATCATGAATTACTTTTCCGGAAGAATAGATATTATATTAAATAAAAATTATGTATCAATGTTATCATTTTCGGGCGTTTTCAATCCACCGGGGTTCTACCGGGGCTCTGCCTGGATCGTCCTGGACTCTGCCGGGGCTCTGCCTGGATCGACCGGGGCTCTGCCTGGGTCAACCGGGGCTCTTCCGGCGTCATCCAGGAACGACCGGGGAAGCACCGGCATGAACCGTAGCTTCACCTGGGCTCTGCCTGGATGATCCGGAGCGCATCCTGGGTGGTTAGTTGGGAACTACCGTAGTGCTGCCGGGGTAAGTGTGACCGCAACAATAATTTCAGCCCGGATCGTCCCGGATCATCCCGGTAACTTACCGGGATGGTCCTAGGCTCTTCCGGGAGTAAGTGAGACCGCAGCTTAATGCTAACGTATTTTTCACCACAACATAAAGTGACGTAACTGTAATAAAATGTTGTAATCTCCTCTGGTGACAATTGTATTTATGATAACAGAACAGACGATGCAAAATTAATGTCTTTTTTTAGGTGATGTATATATTTTTCTTTATCAGTGATATTTTTCTTTATCAGTAAATTGAAGATGAATATATGATTGGCATTATATACGTAATTCGCTGAAACTGTTTCAAATACGTGACTGAAAACTGAAATTAAAATACAGTATACATGTAGGTGACATCAATCTGGCAAATGTTGTAGTTAAACCAATTGTGTGTAACAATATGCCTCTTAAAGCGCTTTTAAAAGGTTACACTAAGTACACTTTGTGCCATCTTTGTACGGAAGCGTCCTGATGCCAATTTAACATGTTCTATAAAAAAAGATAACTCCTACGTAGGAGATAAAAAAAGCCTAATTAGGAGTTTATAACTCCTACGTAGGACTTTATAACTCATACGTAGGAGTTTATAACTCCTACGTAGGACTTTATAACTCATACGTAGGAAAAATTGTGTGAAACAATATATGCCTCTTAAAGCGCTTTTAAAAGATAACACTAAGTACACTTTGTGCCATTTTTGTACGGAAGCGTCCTGATGCCAATTTAATTAACATGTTCTATAAAAAGAGATAACTCCTACGTAGGAGATAAAAAGCCTAATCAGGAGTTTATAACTCCTACATAGGAGTTTATAACTCCAACGTAGGAGTTTATAACTCCAACGTAGGAGTTACTAACTCATACGTAGGACTTTATAACTCCTACGTAGGACTTTATAAATCCTACGTAGGAGATAAAAAAAGTCTAATCAGGAGTTTTTAACTCCTATGTAGGACTTCATAAGTCCTAATAAAGTCCTACGTAGGAGATAAAAAAAGCCTTATTAGGAGTTTATAACTCCAACATAGGACTTTATAACTCCTACGTAGGACTTTATTAGTCCTACGTAGGACTTTATAACTCCTACGTAGGAGATAAAAAAAGCCTAATTATGAGTTTATAATTCCTACGTAGGACTTTATAAGTCCTACGTAGGACTTTATCACTCCTACGTAGGATACATATCAAAGTGCTGAAAGCACAGAGTGCGACTGAAATGTTACAAATGTATGCTAGAGTATAACCTAGGATAGCATATTGTGTAGGAAAATAAATTATATTTGTCAAAGTGTAATTGTGGCAAGCCGCTTTATTAGATACCCTTCTTCTGTAGCCAGAGATGATCTTAAGCGGAATAACCCAGAACTCAATAATCTGAATTATTTTTAGCAATACAACTAGTTCCGAAAATTGAACTTACTAAAGATGTCATTCTCTACATATATTGAATGATGATTCTGTATTAAGTACATTTATGTTAATTATACAAAAATGCATGGGTGAAGCTTAAATTTGTTCAAAGTAGGATATAATTCATTTGTAAACTTATGCATGCATATTGCTTCGGAAATCGCAACTTTTCGGAGCTGGAACAAGACACTTTAAACCCCCGCCCATATAAGGATTAAATTATTCGAAACAGCTGAAAATGGATAAATTGCTCACTTAAGTCAGCTAGTTCGTATGGAAAGTGTAATCTTTAAAGCCTTTTAAAATTTTGATATACGTGAATTAATATCTTAAACACTTAAATGCTTGTTGCCGAGTATTTTTTTCGGAGAGCTGTGAAGCAATTTTCCGAGATACATGCTCACAGACATCTCACCCTAAGACACTTCACACTTCAGAAGCCTGAGACACTGTATTGAAAGGTGAAGTATGGCGGCATGGCCAAGTGGTAAACGCGTCGGACTAGTAATCTAATGATCGCTAGCCGCATGAGTTAAAACCCCGTCAGGGGCAGTCGTTGTTTCCCTGAACAAGAAACTTTACGCTCATTGCTCAGTACTGGTTGGTTCCAGGAACGGATTTTAAAGTGTGTCTATAAGCTTATAGCTTCCTACACAATCGAACTTAAATAAATTCTGTATAAACCAAAGATTTGAAATTTCTCCGGGGGGATTAAGTATCTTGTTCCATCGCCGATATACCGGTCCGTAATGTTGAAATTTGCAAAACATTCTGTATTTATTTCTTATAAAGTCATAAAGTCCTACGTAGGAGAAACAAACTCCTTACTAGGCTTTTTGATCTCCTAGGTAGGAGTAATATTATAAAAGTCCAACGTAGGAGTTATAAAGTCCTACGTAGGAGTTAAAAAGTCCTACGTAGGAGTTAAAAAGTCCTACATAGGAGTTACAATGTCCTACCACGGATTTATATTACAAATATTATATAAATCCGTGGTCCTACGTAGGACTTTTAATGTGCTACGTAGGAGTTACAAAGTCCAACGTTAGACTTATAAAGTCCTACGTTGAAGTAAAAAAGTCCTACGTAGGAGTTTAAAAGTCCTACGCAGGACTTATAAAGTCCTACGTAGGAGTTATAAACTCCTAATTAGGCTTTTTTCTATCTCCTACGAAGGAGTTATCTTTTTTTATAGAATATGTTAAATTGGCACCAGGACGCTTCCGTATCTTTGAGATCGTTTGCTTTGTATATAAAAATAAGCTTGTGATAGACAATAATTATTATCTTTACTATCATTTTCGTGTAATTTGAATTGAGTTCCTTTTCGTTGTTTTCATGCCTTTCTGGATAACGAGAACTTCCTCATCTTGGTCGATGGACGTTTGACGGGAAAAACCCAAAGGAAAAACCACAATAATTTACTTGCAAATTTCCATTACGTATGTGTAAAAGTGCATGTTTAACATATTACCAGATCTTGTCATTATTTTATATTTTCATAACATACGTCAGTGGACAAAGTCACATTCAGGTATACATTATTTCAAGACTTAAACATTTAAATATTGTTAAGTCACTTGCAAAATAATTGACAAATTTGTTTTTTGTTATCCTTTCTTCATCTGTTCATCAGATCGTTATCAGATTGTAAGTTATCTTAACTGTTTCTTAACAAGACATTTCCTGATTGTTATAGGACATTATACTGGTTGGAGAGGTAACTCCGACACTAAATCACATACTTTTTGTAATATCTTAATTATCTTCCTGTATATTTTAAATATTGAACCACCTAAATAAAGTTCAGTTCAAAGACTTTACATTACACTACAAAAATTATGTATGAAAATGAGAATTGGTACTTCTTTAAGGTCCTGGATGGGGTATACAAAACATGGTATTTTACCCCTCAACAGTAGATAAAGTCGACACTTAAATTTTTAAATAAAAAATGACAGGAAAATCAGCATCATTAATTTATTTTTACATCTTATATGTTTTATCTATTTTTTGTTGATGTAAAAACAAGTTTTCAAAAATGTTTCCCAAGTCAGTGGCCTGTGGTCAATACATTTCTAACTACCTCATTGTAATTTAGTAAAAAGAACGTTCTGAAGTAGTTTTTACCAACGAAATGTTTCGGTTAATTGAAAAATATTAAAAAGTTTACCAACTTACAAAAAATCATCACATTCTGCCCTGCTCCTATACTACTTGGTGACAATGTGCTTTTTTGTTAAGTTACATGTATAAAAATTTTATTTCTCAAGTGTCGGGGTTATCTATGCGTCGGAGTTATCTCTCCGACCAGTATATCTCTAGTTGTCAAGAGTCTATTTTTAGCTACTTTTGCATGACCATCTCTCAAGTTATAACTTGCAAACATTATGTTTGCATAGGAATTTGGAGGTTACGTACATGTACCATGGAGGTTACTTACCACTGCATAAATGTACCATTTTTGGAGGTTACGTACCACTATAGAAATATGTAATAAAGTGATAATAAGGGATCAGGTGTGAAATTATCAGGTTTATTGATTAAATTCGCGCATTAATTGTATTTTGTAACAAGATTAAATATGTATGAATATATAAGAATAAACAACAAACCACAATCAACGATAATAAACAATTTTTATTTACAACACAAAACTGAAACGATTGAACAAACGATGAAAATAATTAATAACACTAATCTCAATAGTTTGCAATTTGTTTGTGATTTGTTAGATTACTCATTTCTCAATGTGTGATAATCACACATAGATACAGGTAAAACGTTTGCATTTATATAAATTGCTCTTATGTGATTTTTAAAAAGTAAAATTAAAGTTATAATTCGGTCTTTTTTTATAATTGTTATGCTTTATATTATTTGTATTTTATATAAATAATATATATGGTATCCTCCAAAATTAATAAGTGGTACGTAACCTCCAAAAACGGTACGTAACCTCCTGGTACGAATCCTCCGTGGTACGTAACCTCCAGTAATCTTTGCATACATGCCATATTTTTTAGACTCATTTCCGGGACACTTTTCATTTGGAGGTGGGGCATTTATCAGCAAACGTATTTTTTTAAATTGATATAATGGCATACAACCTATATTAACGGTATAAATTACAACTTGCAAATTCAATGACACCATAAACAATAATTAATATGAAATTAGGCAAAGCCTATGAACGGGGAAGTCGGTAAAAAATCCATTCATTTTTCCGTTTTAAAATTATATGTACCCGCTTCCGTTTTCACTCGGAACACTTGACGATTATTATTAATCCGAAAAGTTGAGATTTGTTTCGTTATCAGAATACACCGCCTTTTATCATTGAGTTACATTGTAAATGGCGGCGCCTAACTAGAAATGACACTGAAAATTTCATTGATAGGTATAGAATTCTATATATTTTTTAATTGTTTTTTTATTTGAATTTCTTTTAGATATACACATGTAGTCTATAGCCTGGCAAGCTTTGCGGGCCCGGGCTTTGACTTTCCCGTATTAACAGTTTTTCTATCTTTTTTAAGTATTTAGGCATCGTTAATTCAATCAGTCACAGAATATAATAAAGCTATGTTAAGTACTAACAATTAGCCATGTCGTTTACCTGAAACATTCGCTGAATCTTGTAGATTTCATCACCTCATATTTACTGTAGCAGTAATTTTCACGGTGTTTGACCACTAATAACTGCCTCCAGGCGGATTAAATTTATACTGGCCAGTTGTTAATTACAGTGTATGACACCTTCGCTCAGGAAGCCACAGGGGGTAAACAATTAATCTTTTAATTGATCAAAATTATTGCCAATAATTGTTTGTTGGAAGGGCACGTAGATATTCCAATCAAAGGATTAGTGTCACCATTGCAATGCTTGTTAGGGGATAATCGTTCGTTATTACGTTCTAGACTTGTTTGTAAAAACTTGACAATAAAATTATATAAAAATGTAAAATTTCTTGCTTCAAAGTAGATTATTTTAGATTTTTTTTTACCGGGACATAAATCATCTCCGGGACAGACACCTTATTTCCGGGACTGTCCCGGACATCCGGGACGTTATGGCATGTATGTGTTTGAATCTTAATGAGTAAGCTTTAAAGGCCATAAAGAAATAATAAATACTCTACTGGACTCTGTTTTATCAGCGCAACTCTATTACAGACATACTCTCAGTATTTTGTCATGTGCGGCAAATTGCTAGTCCAACTGTACTAATTAGACTTGTCAAGAAGGCATCGAGATTATTTTGGACAGGTGATGTCTTTTTCCATAACGATTTAACAGTATGAAAAAAAGTTTGTAAAATGGTCAAACTGGCCACGCCGAATTAATTGGGCTACAGTCATGCATACGGTGAATTGAAAAAATCTTTGACTTCATTCAATAAAAAGGACATTTTTAGTTGAATTTGTTCTGCTTCACACAAAATAATAATTAATAAATTCATCCATGAAATTCAATGCAAACATACCTGAAATGTTAAGTATGCTGATAATATGGATTTCCATGCTAAATCTGTTTTTGTTTCTCCTGTTATAGAGTCCTGGCAACATAATGATACGGGTCACTTCTCAGTAGTCTGTCTGTCCGTCTGTTACAAAACTTGACCGGATGACTCCAAAACTACAACAGGCCTTGACAAATCAGCTGGCCGACTTGCATTTGCTAGTAAAAGTTTTGGTCGTAAAAATCCAAATGATGTTTCTTTAAATATTTAATATAAATGAAGTTATCCGGTAAAAAAATGAAACACCATTTTAATCGTAATACTGTCAACCGAAAAGCAGAAAATGACCTTATATCTAAGTATAGAACTTTACTGAATGCGTATGATGAAGCTATTCCGTTGCGACATCAGCATTCAATAATGTTTTATACATACGCATTGGCCAATGTTTTAAACTTAGCCATGAGGTCGATTTTTTAGCCCAGTGTGTTAAAATTTGAATGGGATAAGTATTCAGGCTATGTTGAAGATTATATAATAAAAAAAAAGAGTATGATATACATTATTAAACAATATGTAATTGAATAATGCCAATTATACCGATATAGACCAGTAATTAGCCAATTTGAGTTTTGTGTTTGATTTTTACAAATTTTGTCAAAAAGCAAGGCGCGTGTATTTCATGAAGGGCGAGCAAATTTCATCGGGGCCTGTACAATGTACTGGTGGATTTCAGCCAAACTTTATAGGATCAATCAGTATAAGAAGTCTATCTATGCATATTGATATTATCTATATTTTCAGGTTCAATGATTTTTGTGTCGCCTGCTATGGAGTAGCTCTTGTATAATGACTGAAGTTTTTTTGACATGAAAAGATATAAAAAATTCTTTATTTGTAAATCATTCTTTATCACATGATCTAACATCATCGTTATAAAAGATACAGAACAACACATTCCTATCACATCTTAAATATTCCTAGCATTTTGTAAAAAATATTGGAAGTGCTCAACTGTCGACAGCATACATTGTAGCTTAGAAACAATTGCATGGGCTGCATGAATTGGTTACTTCCTCTATTATTTGAGGGTGAACAGTTATGATTTTTGTGAACTTTTTTGTTATTGTGTCTTTTTTGGTCTTTTATTTATCATGTATTACATGTATTTGTTTTATTTGTGATACAACAGATTATCACTATGGGAGGAGCCTTGACCTGGATTCAGGTATTATAGAAATAATGCTTTAATATTATTAAATACTTTATTATAATGCTGTGCACTTGTAACATCGGTTTTCATTGGACAGTCATGACATTTGAGCCGTGTCACGACAAAACCAACATAATGGGTTTGCGACCAGCATGGATCCAGACCAGCCTGCGCATCCGCGCAGTCTGATCAGGATCCATGCTGTTCGCTATCAGTTTCTCTACTTGTGAAGGGTTTGTAAGCAAACAGCAAGGATCCTGATCTGGATCCATGCTGGTTGCAAACCCATTATGTTGGTTTTGTCATGACGCGGCTCATTTGTATTATCTATATAAACAAAGCTTCTGCAAAATGGAGCTGTCATTGATTCAGTAGAAAGCATATCGGCGATATATTGATATCAGATGGCAAGTCTCAAAGATACAATAAGAAATCTATAATAACTTATTATAATCTAACACTTGCTTTTTATGCACTTTCATATCTGTTTAAACCATGAAAAAAATGAATTCTGTCAAATAAAATTTAATGTTCTATTCATATATAATTTTGTTGTGTTAAAGTTTATAAATGCCAACTGCTCGATTTTTTTCAGACCCTTTTTGGTCAATATGCTTGTTTCATAACCACATTATAGTTTTGGCTGAGGGCATTTGCTTTTGGGTGACTTTTTGTGTCGCCTCTACGGAGTAGTGACGACATATAGGGATCACTTCTTCGTCGTCTGTCTGTCCGTCTGTCTGTTCGTCACAAAACTTGTCCAGGCTACTCCTCAAACTACTGGTGCAATTTCATCCAAACTTTACAGAAATGATCAGTAGCAAGTCTAGTTGTGCATATTGTCAACATTTTCCGGTTCAATGATTTTTGTCAGAGTTATGGCCCTTTAATAATTTTTAATTTTAAAGTTTGTCCGGACAACTTCTCTTATACCACTAATGCAATTTGAATGAAAATTTACAGGATTGATCTGTAGCTCAAGTCCTTGTGCATATTGCATGGGTTTTCCGGTTGAATGAGTTTTGGCCGAGTTATGGCCCTTTGATAAAAAGGTGTTTTTTTCTGTGTGTTGCCAGATACACAAAAGCTTGTCCAGACTACTCCTCATAAAATACTGGTGCAATTTCATCCAAACTTTACAGGAATGATCAGTACCAAGTCTAGTTGTGCATATTGTCAGCATTTTCCGGTTCAATGATTTTTGTCAGAGTTATGGCCCTTTAATAATTTTTATTTTTAAAGTTTGTCCGGACTACTTCTCTTATACCACTAATGCAATTTCAATGAAACTTTACAGGATTGATCTGTAGCTCAAGTCCTTGCGCATATTGCACGGGTTTTCCGGTTGAATGATTTTTGTTTGAGTTATGGCCCTTTGATAAAAAGGTTTATTTTTCTGTGTGTTGCCAGATACCCAAAAGCTTGTCCGGACTACTCCTCATAAAATACTGGTGCAATTTTATCAAAACTTTACAGGAATGATCAGTACCAAGTCTAGTTGTGCACTGTCCGTCTGTCTGTCCGTCTGTCACAAAATTTGTCTCAACATGAAATTGGCCATCATGAGGCGACACATGTGATCACTGATTGCTCTTGTTATAATTTCTAGACATTTTTTATTAAATCAGAAATTATAATTTTTTTCAAATCTCCATTGATTATTGATTGATAAAAAGTAGCTAAGGTACATCAATATCTTTTCTATCGATGACAGCTCTACAGCAAAATATGAAATATTTTCAATTTCAATCAGATAAAGCTATTGTGCAGTATTATAAAAAGGTTTAAAAGACTTTCGACAGGTTATATAAATTACATTATTATCATATACCTTTAACAGCATAAAAAAACAACAGTAAAAATACTATCTATAACCAGAGTGCTACTAAAAGAATTTGTAGCTGCATAAAATATGTATTTGTAAAATAACATTTCGCTGACAGCAAGATATACAGCGGTTTTGTACAGATATAGCAATGCTGTCAGTATGTATTGTGTAAGTGACCATTTTATTGCCAGTTTTGCCAGTTATCATTTTCTTTTTTGTCAGTGCAAGCTTTCTGCTTCATTTATACAATTATCTAGCCTAGAAATATATGTGTTGACAAAAAAGACTTTTTTCCTCTTTATGATGGCTTACTCCATTGCAGTGTGTTTAACCTATATCTTAAATGCTAGATAGCTTTCTTTTTGCTTGTTTAGGATTAGAGACGGACCAATGTAAATCATTAACTGATAACAAAATAACATCTTGACATTTTCTTTGAGCTCAACTATTATCATGACCAAATTGTCTTAGTGCTAGTATTGGTTAATCTTTCTGACAGAGTTTCTGTTGAGGTTCATTTTCTCAGGTACTATCAAAGCTTAGTATATATGGAATATCCTTATTTTGTCTAAAATGAAAGTTCAGTTTGGCTACCTTTTAAATTTTCTCTTCATATATACCAAAGTCATTAAAATGTGTAGAAATCAGTATATACATGTAGGCAGGCTTCTGTGACCGAGTGGGTAAAATGTCTAATTTCTTGTTCCTCAAAGCTGTCCGATAGAAATACCAGATGAACATCAAAATCCTTAATGCATAAAAGATTTCGCAATTTACATTGACAGTTTACTTTTTGAGGAAATAATGTAAAGAGGAACATCTGAAGGTATCCCTCACTGTTAAAATGGATAAGATCATCCTTTGGCCATATTACAGTCTTACAAAGATGGTGTGACCTTAAAACAAATACATTGTAAATATCAAATTCAATTTCATATGGCATTTGAGTAAAATGGAATGAATGCAGTCATATAAACATAGTATGTAGCTTTTCTTTGTACTAGCTGCTACTCTTTTTCACTGTTGTAGAAATTTTAGACAATATGTCTTCCATTTAAGCTTGCTTTCCTGGTGCTGGTACTTTTTGGTTCTTAGTTTCAGTTATTTAAGAAAGTTGATAAAAATAAACTAATATCTATGTTTTTGGCTTGACATGATCTTCGAAAACTTTTGGTTAAAATTGGTATGCCTATGATATCAGTCTGATGGTCTGATGAAGCATTTTACTTTGGTTTATAGGCACATTGTGCTTCAGAAACCATTCAATTTTTCAAACTTTAGAAAGAGCAGACATGAGTTTTTTTAACATTTACCAGGTAAATGATAATTTTAGAGCATGTTAGATGCGTTTTACTTGAAGTTAAAATATTTTGTTAAAAGTAGCAAAATGTAAACAAGAGTAGTATTTTTACTTCCGTATAAAATAGTCCACATCAATAATTGCATTTGTTACCATTAAGAATCAGAAGCAAAATATGGTTCAGGTTAAATTAGTCAATGAGTAATTTCTTGGAAACTATAAAGGGACACCAAAAATTAAAGTGCTTTTGAGAAATAAAAATAAAACCATTTTTGGGTTATAATGCCATAAAAACTAACCATTCAACTTTTTTTCCCATTTTTTGCAATACTGGGTGTTTCTTTCAGACAATTGTGTGTGTGTGTTAGAATTTAGTGTCTGAAATTTCCAGTAATTTTAGACTGGTTAAATAAAATTTTAGATCTAAGACTTAAAGATTTTTACAAGATTACAAGATTTTTATAGTTTCTGAAATTTTCAATATTTTAACAAAATGATATTTAAGAAAATGGACCATTTTTTTATGTTAATTAATAACTTAAATATTGATTAAGATGGGATTTTATTGATAGTTGACACATTTTATATTTATATGTGAATTTGATACGTCTTCATACCTTTTATCATCTTTTTTTTTTCAGAAGAAAGTGATGGGTGATGAAGGTAAGCTTATTTGTTCTTTCTTCTGTCATTCATAACTGTCATGCTATAATTAACTTATTTTTCTTTTGCATTTTAATTTCCTATTAAAATTTCAATACTTGACACATTTTCCAGATATATTTTAGATATTGATAAAAACGATAGATATATAATATATCATTTGGATATTCATATGAAATATTTCTTGAGAAAAAAATGTTGGTCAAGCTCTAGAACATGATAACATGTAGATATGGTATAACATGATGTACCAAATCACTTTAACCTTTTACCCCATGAGCATATTGCGAAAAATGGCCTTTTTCATTGAAAAGCCTCCTGTAACAAGTTCAAACTGCTATGAAACTATGAAAAATGCTTCAATACTGATGAAACTTGGCACAAATGTTGACTACACCATAGCCTCTATAACAGCATGCTCAATTGTAAATTTCCTGTTACCATGGCAACGGGGGGACGTCTCAAAATTGCCAAAAATCACTATTTTGCATTGTTTTTTCCATCAAAACTGATTTCAAAGTGCTGCAACTTCTCAATGAATTGAGATAGACTAAAAGGCTTTTCAGCATCGGTTACTAGTTACCCTAAGATCGACCTGAGGCCATTTTTAGCCTGTCACATGTCCAAAATTTTCTTGGCGATGAGGGGGACCCCTTCAAACCCCCCAAACAGAAGGGGGCACATCCCCCTTCTGGCAACCCCCTGATGTAACAATTGGATGGGGAACCGCGCCGAAAAAGTGGTCACTTTTTTTAACAACATTTCTCAAACGAAAACCAGTGTTTGGGGCCTAAATAGGGCATTTTTTCACTGTTTGATGCCTCAAAAAGGGGGTGGGGGGTGGGGGAAAGCCGTCGAAACACGCTTATATGAGGTAAAAGGTTAAGGCTCAAAATCTAAGAATGAATACAGTTTTCTTTGTCAATAAAATAAGACCGTTGTTTAACAACTGAAATAAAGTTGTCTTTGATGACAATTTGTATATCAAAACAGGTAAGTCTGTGATATACAAGAAATGAAAAAAATCGGCAGCATTTAGTTTAGGTTTTTCTTTACTTTTGTGACTGCACATTTTATTTCTGTTTACAGAACCAACATATGACTTCCCGACAGACTTGGATGGATTTGGGTACTACTTCAACGCAGGTATTGAAAGTTACAAAAATATTTCTTAGATAATGAATAGTAAATAGTAAATAATAGTAGGCTACTGGCAGATTGAAGTTAAACCTTGTTTTAGAATTACAAATCTATGTTCAATACTCCTTTTTGGAATGGATGGTTTGGTGCATTATGCTTATAACAATTATGTACATGTATGTACACTGTACTATCTCATTCATATGCTGTTGTATGAAATAGTACCCTTAATTTTTACAATGTTTACTTGATCTGTAAAGCAGCAGGCCTCCAAATTCATGCTAATTTTTCATGAAAATTTTGAAAATATTTTTAAAAGTAAAATATTGAGAAGTGAACAAAAAAAAATAATGACAAACATTTCCAAATTTCCAATGGCATTTGCAATCCATGTAAATTACCAAAAAGAGGTGAGAATATGTGAAAATAGCCCTTACTGCATTAAGTCATGTTGTAGAAATATGGTGATTAATACTGCAATATCAGTTATTATGATTAATCGCACATAGCATGTAGAATTATTACTTGAATCTTTTCACTTTTCTTAAAATCTTTTTACTCAAGTTTAATTTTCTGGAAATATTTTGTTTAATCTGGAGGCATACAGTTTTAAAGGTTAATTTGACTATTTTTATTCCATGATTTTAGAAGGACAGATGCGCAATAAAGACACAAATGAACCATTTGAGTTTAATGTAAGGGACGGTGACCATCATTACAACCAGAAACATTATAATGCCCTCGGTGATGTAAGTACAATATGGTCAATATCGGACTATAATGACTGCGTAACATGACAATTAGAATTAGATAATGAATTACAAAAAATGTTTCAAAATCATGTTTTATTTTTTTGGTCAGATTTCTATATTTAGTTAAGTTTTTTTTTTCTTCTTAAATTTAAATATTTTTGATTAATTTGATTATATTTCTATAAAGTTTTAAATTCACTGAAAATGTTTTTACTCAATATAAATTTGCTCCTTTTGATTTTCTGCTTTTTCTGTAAAATGAATATTTTTCACCTTCTACAAATTACACCTTACACTTTCTGTCAGTATTAGATAACCAGTACACAAAAGTCACTATAATCATAAGAATTTTAAAGGCCCATTCTGTATTAGAACTGTTTTCATTTTTATGCCTCAAAAGCAATTTTATAGTTCGTTTACTTTATAGTTTCAAAAAGGCTACATATTAGACAATTACCCAAACCATCCTTTTCTTTTGTTTATTTTTGGCAATTAGTACTGATAAATTGATTAAGTATTTTGTATGGAAGTCAGACTACTTTTTTGTTAACATTTAGCATTTCACATTTAGCGCTACTTTCTTCAGGTAACAAAATTCTATTGTGCTCTAAAACCATTATTTAAACGTTATAAAATTCTTTCTAAAGAAGTAAAAATGTATTATTTTTTTTAGGCATAATGTGCCTTTAATTTCTGATACATGTATGATTATATTATATTCTGTAGGTGATTACAGAGAAGGTTTATCAGATGATGGAAAAAGACTATAAGCTACAGAGAGCTTATCTTCCTGTAAGTATAACCTTGTTCTCGGGAGAATGCTCACCTGGTAACAGAAGTATTTAGGGTATAAAACTCAAGAAAGTTTTCAGTACATCAAAACACTCTGTAACTATTTACTGGTATTGGTTAAGCACTAATAAAAGAAAGAGCATCGAAACACAAGGGCATCTGATTTGTATGAGAGATCGTAGCCAATCAACAGGCATGCTCTTGTTTTATTCTCGCAAGACAATGTGGTAACTGGAGTGCAGGTGATTAATGTCTGCACTCCAGTTAACGCACTGTGCATGTGTGAGTATACCATTTAAGGAAGCCAGGTATTTATTACATTCAGTGATAGTTCTAGTTTGTATATTTTTATATATAGGCCAATGCAGAAGAGGGAGAACCGAGATCATTTGTGTTTATAAGTGGTGATTTATATACAAACACGGAGAAAATGATGATTCTGGTACATGGGAGTGGTGTGGTGAGGGCCGGCCAATGGGCTCGAAGGTAATATTACATAAGGAGAGTTGAAGCTTACTGGTTACAGTGGCAACTTCTCTACTTATTTATCATCGATTAGAATCGAGGGTTAATGACAATTATCTCATTTTCCTAAACCATTAATATGGAGTCAGGCCAGTATGCTCTCCTGTGTTATCTGAGCAGACTGTGTTTGATGCTTAATTATTGAATAACAATGCACTGTCTAAAAAAATCAGACACGGGCAATTCTAACACTTAAATGCAGAAAGGTAAAGGGTAGGGTCTCAAATATGATACCAGTTCAAGTTGAAACAAAATGGACTAGAGAGTTATTTAGTTTATACAAATTTATTTAAGTTTGATTGTGTTGGAAGCTATAAGCTTACTTAAACAATCTGGAACACTCTCGAATCCGTTCCTTTGAACTAGTCTGAACCAGTACTAAAGCTGCTTCAGTTACAATTAAACATTGAACAAACCATGCAAAAATGAATGTAAAAATTCTTGCTCAAGGAATTGAAATCCTACAACGTCTTGAGATTTGCGAAGCCTCTTTTTAAAATTTCGAATACGTTTTTCATTTCTTCTTAAAATAACTAATCCATGAAGAGTTTTAGGTTTAAAAACTTAAAAAACTGGAAAAAAAAAATGGAAAATTTTCGGGTTTAAAAAAATTAGGTTAAAAATTTTTCAGGGGTACCGTTTGTGCCCCCCCAATGAAAAAATTTGATTTTCAAGCAAAACTTTTTTATTAAAGAATGGGCCCCAAAATGGGTTTTAAAAATTAAAAACTTTTCTGCTTTTGTGAATTTTCCGGTTTGAAAAAAAGTTTTTCAAATTTTTAAAATTAGCCCTTTTTTTTATTTCCAAAGTTAAAAAGAAAAACCCCCCACCCCCGAAAAAGCCCCAAAACCCCTTTTAAAAAAAACCATTTTTTTGAACAAACCTTTTTTTTTTTAAAAAGGGCAGAATTAAAAAAAAAGAAAACCCCCTTTAAAAGCATTTAGTCTCTTTTGATATTCTTATTCCAGGGAAAATTTTTTTAAAAATTTTTTTCATTTTTTTTGTTTTAAAAAAGGTTTTGGAAATTTTAAACCCACCCTTTTAAAGCCCCTTTTTTTTTTTTAAAAGAAAAAATTTAAATAAAAAAAATTTGCCCTTTTTATTTTAAGGGGTTTATAAAAAGGGGTAAAATTTAAATCCCCCAAGAGTTTTTAAAGGAATTATGGGGAAAAATTTCAAAATTTTCCCTTTTTTTTTTAATAATTTAAAAGTTTTTATTTCAAAATTGAATCCCAAAAATAATTTTAAATTTTTCTTCCAAAATTCCTTTTTTTCCTTCCCCCCTTTTTAAAACATATTTTGTTTCTCAGAATACAATACATGTACATGTTACAGTAAACAAAATGTACAAAGCATTACAAATACATATGTATTCTTAAAAAAACAAAATTAGTGTGGAAAACAGTCTTTTAAAAAATTTCTTCTTCTACCCCATCCAGTAAGTGTTACTAAATTTTGCATTTTTCACAAATTTTTGGCATATTTTGTGGATAGATTGCAGTACCTTTTGCAAAAGCTGCTTGAATTACATTATAAAAATTTTGTTCACTTAGTATTTATTGTCTAAATTAAAAAAAAAAAGCATGAACCTAGAGGTGCACTACTTTGAGAAATAGTATACGTATGTGTGATATAGTGTATTGTGGCCTTTATTGTGTTTAGAAGTCGTGTGCATAAAGTGCTCAAATTAACAGCAAGGGGAGTGGTTATGGTATCTACTTCTCAATCCAGGGGTATTGGGTGTGTGCTCTACCTAGGTCAGAACCATAGTTCCTCATATGACACCAGTACTGGTTAGTTCCAGGAAGCAAACTTAAATGAGCTACAAGTTTTCTACATAACTAAGCTTTAATAAATAATGTTTAAGCTAAAAGCGCTGGTCAGATTTTGACCAAACTTCACCACTGACAAGATTGATCCTTAATTGATGATCCTCTGCATAAGTTATACATACTATTAATATATATGTGGTACAATTAGACTTTAAAAATGAAATCTTTAAAATCTTCTCAAAAACTACAATGTGTTGAAATAAGGTGTGTAACTACATGTATTTTTTTGGTCATATACACAAGTTACTTATTATTTTACATAGACTTGTATAGAAAATTATATTCAAATCTTATTATCTAAAACTACAAAGGCATGAGCTAAGATATTTGGTATTTGACATTACTGAGTAACTAGAGATAGAATGTACATGTATATTACTAATGAATGTATAAAATTTTCAGTGTAAGAATCATCTACGCGAGTTTGAAGAACGAGTGTTTGCAATAGCTCTCACTGACTCTGTTCATGGGTTAAGAGGTCAGGAGGCGGAGCCAGAGGTCGTGTCATATTACAAACAGGTATGTTTGTTTAATATGCCCCGCCTTAAAAGGGAGGGGTTTGGCGGATATATAGATTTGCCCTCATTCAACTGTCCTGCTGTCTGTAGACTGACAAAACATCTGAAACTGGCATCCGTGTTCTATTGGCACATTTCTAGGTTTCTCAGAATTACTTTTACTTAAATGCCATCAAAATATTTGTTTTGATTACAAAAAATATGGCCTTTTCCTACTTTACAAACAGAGCTATCTATGTTGATTACCTGGGGATATATACTGCAAAATCATTATTATTCATCAATGTTCATGGGGCATTAATTTTCGTGGGTTTTGTGGCTGTGTCAATTCACAAATTTAAGATCCAATGAAATTTAGCCACTTTTAAGATTTTTTTGTACACATTATTTACATCTTCCTTTTAGAAAAATAAACAGTCCACAAATTTAAGTACCCACGAAAATGTTCTTTGTGACAAAACCACGAAATTTCATGCCCGCGAAAATAAGTGAATTCACAGTAGTAAGCTTAAGCTTTGTGAATTGCTCATCGTCAACTGGAAAGCCAAGTTTCTGAGACAATTTCTTGTCATCTGTTATTTAGATGAGTTACATGTATATAAATAGCTCGTATCTGTTGTAGAATGTGGTAAATTGGGCCTCAGCAATGGATCCCCTTGACGCCCCTCTCATCACATCGACAGATGAAGTGCCTACAGTTTCTGCTGGTGCGTTTATTTGTTCATGCTTCGAGATAATGGACTGAAACGATGTTGTTTTTACCTTTCGTAATTTTTATACTAATTTTTTTTCAAATAAAATAATTACATTTTTAAATTGAAACTGGAGTTGATTTCTATATTCAAACTTACATTATACTAATTTTAAAGTTGATGGTTTTATCAAAAATAAAGGGACACATAAGGTCTTCCTACACTTACAAAGCTGGAAAGTCACTACATAATCTACACATTGTCCATGTGATTTAAAACCCAACAAATTAAACTATTTTACCTCGAGATTCTATAAAAATTGACTGTACATTTTAAAGCTTTTTTCTCTCTTAAAACGATCAAATCTACATTATCTATTATTATATCTTATGATGCATAATAATGTCTCATTTGATTGTTACAGTAAATTCTCTTGATGAAGATTTGATTAGAACTGAAACTGGTGGAAAATAAATAACCTTAACCAGCTCTCGTTGTACTTCTTCATTCTCCTCTTATTTTGTAAATTTTTTTGTTCATTACTTCTTATATAAAGTGTATAATGTTTTTATTTTTTTCTTGGTTATAGGTACAGATGTTCATGAAAAAACGAGTTACACTAGTATGCATTCCATTTTCAAATACTTCACAAAGAAGTACAATGAAACTATCAATCCTTCAAGTAAAAGTGACACAGAGAAAGACATTCAGCAAGCACCTGCTACAGAACAAAAAAATGGGGAGGAGACTAAAAATGTAGCCAATCAGAATGAAGATCAGTCACAAACTAGCCAGTCAACTGCTGAGAACAAAGATAATAGCGAATCAGTGACAAAAGGGGAGGAGACAAAAATTTCAGCCAATCAGAATGAAGAACATCCGAAAACTAGCCAATCAGAGGCTGGGATAGAAGATAAAAGCCAGGCTGTGACTGATGAGACAGAATCCAGCCAATCAGGAACCGAGTTAAAAGAATCTGACCAATTAGAAAATGCGAAAGACTCTAAGCCTAAAGACTCTGTTGTAGATATTGATGAAGTCAAACCTGAAGTAAAGTCAGAATTATAGAAAGGATTTTATTTTGTTTACATAATTCTTGCGGTTGTATTAGGGGGTTTGGACAAGATTCAGTGCCATTGTACAAAAAACGTGTACTTGCTTTTTTGAAAGCTATTAACAATATAGAAATATGTGCTATGTTATTTAAAATAAAATAATTTCGGAATACTGATAAACTAATTCTGGAGATATACATTGAAACTTTCTTATGATAGATTTATTGGCTTCAAGAACCTTATCAGATTTATTTGTTACTTGGGAATGCTAGCAACATCCTCTATCTATCTCTTTTACACAGTTATTACTCCTAAAATGGCAAAAAGGGACTTGGAAGCGCAATTAAGGGTCATTATGGCCCTCTTGTTTTCTGACTTTGTTTTATCTTATTGATAATATTTTTAGTGCAATTACTGTACATAAACACAGTGTGTGCTTTTTTGTTTTCAACACAAGTATAATGCTTTTTTGAGTGAAATTCATTTCCTTTGATTACTACCATTTCACACTTTCAAGACTTGTTTTATTGTACATAAATGTATAATAGCCTTGTGCATATCATTTTGTCAATGTTAGAATGCTAATACACAGTACTATAACTCACTTAAGTTTCAGCTTTGATGACTGACAGGCAATTCAAAAAACTACATTTTAAAAGAAATTTGATTACATTTGGTTATTACAAAACTTATCGTAGTTCCATAGGGTAGGAAGCCACGCTTTTGAATCTGTTCCTGGAATTACCAGTACTGGACAAAGAATATTCAGTTTCAAGGTAACAACACCTTGCCACACTTGGGGTTCAAACCCTCTCAGCCTGCAATTTTGCTTACTGAAGATAGAGGAACATGACTGTGTTTTTATGATCTGATGTAAATTATTGTTTTCATGTGTAGTTTTTTTTTTTATCAAAAATGTCCTAACCAACAAAGAATTTAAATGAAAATATATGTGTCTTATACAAAAATGTCCTAACCAACAAAGAATTTAAATGAAAAAATATATGTGTCTTATACAAAAATGTCCTAACCAACAAGGAATTTAAATGAAAAAATATATGTGTCTTATACAAAAATGTCCTAACCAACAAAGAATTTAAATGAAAATATATGTGTCTTATACAAAAATGTCCTAACCAACAAGGAATTTAAATGAAAATATATGTGTCTTATACAAAAATGTCCTAACCAACAAAGAATTTAAATGAAAATGTATATGTGTCTTATACAAAAATGTCCTAACCAACAAAGAATTTAAATGAAAATATATGTGTCTTATACAAAAATGTCCTAACCAACAAAGAATTTAAATGAAAAAATATATGTGTCTTATACAAAAATGTCCTAACCAACAAAGAATTTAAATGAAAAAATATATGTGTCTTATACAAAAATGTCCTAACCAACAAAGAATTTAAATGAAAAAAATATATGTGTCTTATACAAAAATGTCCTAACCAACAAGGAATTTAAATGAAAAATATATGTGTCTTATACAAAAATGTCCTAACCAACAAGGAATTTAAATGAAAAAATATATGTGTCTTATACAAAAATGTCCTAACCAACAAAGAATTTAAATGAAAAAAATATATGTGTCTTATACAAAAATGTCCTAACCAACAAAGAATTTAAATGAAAAAATATATGTGTCTTATACAAAATGTCCTAACCAACAAAGAATTTAAATTGAAAAAATATATGTGTCTTATACAAAAATGTCCTAACCAACAAAGAATTTAAATGAAAAAATATATGTGTCTTATACAAAAATGTCCTAACCAACAAGGAATTTAAATGAAAAAATATATGTGTCTTATACAAAAATGTCCTAACCAACAAAGAATTTAAATGAAAAAATATATGTGTCTTATACAAAAATGTCCTAACCAACAAAGAATTTAAATGAAAAAATATATGTGTCTTATACAAAATGTCCTAACCAACAAGGAATTTAAATGAAAAAATATATGTGTCTTATACAAAAATGTCCTAACCAACAAAGAATTTAAATGAAAAAATATATGTGTCTTATACAAAAATGTCCTAACCAACAAGGAATTTAAATGAAAAAATATATGTGTCTTATACAAAATGTCCTAACCAACAAGGAATTTAAATGAAAAAATATATGTGTCTTATACAAAAATGTCCTAACCAACAAGGAATTTAAATGAAAAAATATATGTGTCTTATACAAAAATGTCCTAACCAACAAAGAATTTAAATGAAAAAATATATGTGTCTTATACAAAAATGTCCTAACCAACAAAGAATTTAAATGAAAAAATATATGTGTCTTATACAAAAATGTCCTAACCAACAAAGAATTTAAATGAAAAAATATATGTGTCTTATACAAAAATGTCCTAACCAACAAAGAATTTAAATGAAAAAATATATGTGTCTTATACAAAAATGTCCTAACCAACAAAGAATTTAAATGAAAATATATGTGTCTTATACAAAAATGTCCTAACCAACAAAGAATTTTTAATTTTTAAATGAAAATGTATGTGTTCTATAACTATTCACAAATGCTTTTTTTAATACAAGAATTTACAAACTTGCTTACAGATTCTGCTTCTGGTGCTTGGCATTAATATAGAAAAAAATATTTAATTTTGGCATTGGAAATAAATTTATTTATACTGCTGGTAACTTTTGTTGATTTTATTTTCCAATCAAAGTGTAATTGATTATCTTCATTACACCAGAGCATTGTTTGCCTTGTTTTCAAGCAAATTTCAGATTTTCAACTTATTTGTGGTCATATCTCATCGTTGGTCGTCTGACCAGTTATTACCGTGGCAACTTCAATGCAAGTGAATGACTACTAATCCAACTCTATTACAAGTAGAGAAACTGATAGCGAACAGTATGGATCCTGATCAGACTGCACGGATGCGCAGGCTGATCTGGATCCATGCTGGTCGCAAACCCATTATGTTGGTTTTGGTTTCAAGGATAGAACGAGGGACCACTTGATTACAAATCTGATGCGCTAGCTATTGAACTAAATGGGCAGAGCACTTAGTGTTGAAGGTGAACTGCTGTGGTCACTCATTGACTTGTCACCTAAATTTGACTCGACTATTTCTCAGCAACCATTGGCTTGAATTCATTGAAATTTCACAAGATTTTCAAATGGGGATGTTTTGTCCATCCGTCTGTCCCAAAATTTTCTTCGTATTATTTCTCATCAACAACTGGTTAAAATTTATCAAAACTTCAGGAGCTTCACATAGGTGACTCGCCTGATTTACCTACTGATTTAGCTGCATCTCTGTTTTGTTTGTCTGGTTTTTACGAATTTTATTTAAACGCTTTTAGGTCATATCTGAACGATTGGTCCTAACCAGTTTTCAATGGTGAACAGATTTTAACTCACTACAGTGTTGGAGCAGTACCTCTAGACACTTGCAGAGATCATGATCACAGAGAAGAACAATATCGCTTTTTTATGAATAAAAGGTCTTAAAAAAAACCAAGATTTTAGCATTTAATAATTAAAGCGCCTTGTCCGGTATATACCGGTATACATAATCTTATGTGGTGCTCCAACACATTACTTGTCTCACTCAATAATGAACACAGTGCAGTTCTTGAAGCATTGAGAACAGTTCTCGTTTATTGTAAACTAACCAACGACATTTACTGTTCACAGAACAGGCATCATTTATAAAATAATTATGTACAATTTTGACTTCCAGGAAAAAACAAATCAAGAATGTGTATAGCATGATGGCACTCATGATAAATAAAAAACAAATATAAATTTCAACAGACTTTAGAAAAACACTATGATCTAAATTATTTATACATTTAGCACTTACTGTATGAACATTTACATTTGACACAAAACAAAATTTCCATTTATAGCACTATAAACATCATCGATTCATAGAACAGTCATCAACTATGATGTGATTTGATAATTATTTCATTATCTGACTGACTTGATAATTATTTCATTAGCAGTCTTGATAATTATTTCATTAACAAATTGCCTTGATAATTATTTCATTAACTAATTGATAATAATTTCATTAACACTGATTTGATAATTATTTCATTAATTGACCAACATGATAATTTATTTACTAAAGGACGATACTAATTACATTAAATACTTGACTTGATTATTATTTCATTAACTAAATGACTTGATAATTATTTCATTAACTAAATAAAACAAGAGAACGAGTAATATTGCTTACCTGAGTTAACAAGAAGATTAAGAAATGGGAAAAACTGATCATGCCTTTTTAGTGGCCATGTGTTTTGACAAATCATATTTATTTCAACAACTAAAATAGATTAAAAAAAAAATTTTAAGAGGGAAATTTCAAAATTTTCTCCAATTTCATTAAGGATGCCCTTGTGAGCTAATAAATAAAAAAATCAAAAAATCAACAATTATAATAATCAGGATTATTACAAAAGCACTTCTTACAGCTGTTTAAATGGGGGGGAAAATAACAAAATGAATGTATACAAAATAAAAAAGATTAACAAAAAAAATCAAATAGAATTCATTTCTTTTCAATATATGTAGAAAAATAGAAAAATACATAACTTTATCCAACACAGACAGACGATAGGTTCCAGACAATAATTGCACATTTTTTCTTCAGAATGTGGAGTAAATAATAATGAAATGAAACTGGAAGCCTGACCTGTTCCTGCATGCGCCATTTGAGTCAAATACCAGTCCTAGTATCAAATAACATTTATGATGACCTGATTATTTTATACTGGTACCTCTTCAAATATACCCGGAAATAATATTACGTCAGCAACCCTATTTTATATCATACTCTTATATATAGTACATATTTTCTTTCTGTCTTGTCAAATTTGTGCATTATAATGCAATAAATACTTGTCAACTTGTTTAAGACAACACAACCTTGTAGACTTTAAATCATAAAATTAGATAACTTTGTAGCTAAATACCAATAAAAGAAGACTTATGTTCAGCATTTACCAATCAATTAAGGTGTTGATAATATTAAATCATCATTTAAATTATAACAGCACTGATCCGACATATAACATTATATTTCATGTCTGACTTAAGTAAGTCCTAATTTTTTGCACTGTTTCACTGTCTAGAGAACACAGGTCAAAGTCAAAGGTCGAATCTCCGATCTGAAATTTCCCCACTTTCTGAATCAGCATCACAACTTGGACTAGAATATTCGGGTCCTTAATGGACATTAGCTTGCCCTGTAATGCAACAAGTTCTGATAAATCTTCATTGTTTGGCGATTCTACCGCGCAATCTGGAATGTCTTCCCCAGACTTATACAACGTATCAGACACATCACCACCTTTACTGTCTACATCAAATCCTTTACTTTCACTATGCACTAACGAAGCTCGTTCTGTCTGCTTTCCTACTGTGTTACTAACACCTTTAGAATTTCGCTCCTGACCGCTAGTCTTGGATTTCTTTTTCGAATCCTTATCTCTGTTTCTTTCTTTTTTAACTAACTTTGTATCTGCTTGGTGGCCTATAGGTGATGACTTAGAGCTGTTATTTGAAAATACTGATTTGGAGTCCGCTTGGTGGTGACCAGGTGATGGTCGGGAATTCGAATTGGAAAACACTGGTTTTGTGTCCAAACTTAAACGACTAGGTGAATGACGTGACCCTGTAGAGTGGTTAGAGAATACAGAACTAGGTTCAGCAATTTCTTCTTCAGATTCGTCTTCTTCCATTTCAGCTTCTGCCAATAACCTATCTGTAATGTGAATGAGAATAGAGCTAATTTTTTTTTAAGGATTGGGCCTTAAGACACAGATTAAGGTCATACGGTTAAGGTAGACCTCGGGTGCCCCTTTTTGTTCTTCAAGCACAGGAGGGCATTAAAGTAGAACCACAAATCTTCTACATGATAACCAGACTGCTTCCTAACATTACACGAACCAAAAACTCTGTCAGATTCGAACCTAAAGCAGCCAATAGCAAGTGGTTTGAAATCAGTACTATTAACCAAATGGCCATTGAGACCTGAAAATACTGCTTAGTCTACCCAATAGTATACTGGTAAGCCAAGGTATACAAATTATGAAATAAAACTATTTACATGCATATGTATTTCTAAATTATATTTCAATGGGTATAAAGTTTAAAAGTTATATAATCATATCCTTATTTAACGGAACTGCTTTACTTTCAACTTGATAAATGCAATTCTCCATGACAATTTATACTGTATATCTTTTAAATAAAATTTTATTCATTAAGGCAAAGACAATTTCCTTCAGCTGTAAATAACTGACGGTGCTCACAAAAACTGACTGAATTTTTAACTTTTTAACCCTTAGCCTACTAATGGCACAGATTCTACCCATGCAACCTGTGTAGATCAAGCATCAGTTGACACAAACGACTGATCTTGGTCTGCACTAGTTGCATGGGTAAAATCTGTTGGCAACAGCAGACCTATAGTTTAAAATTCACAGCTAGGCTAGTTCATTAAACAACTTTAGATGTATAATACTTAATCTAAAGATCTTTCATACATTTACCTACTTCTTTTAATATAAAATAAACAGAATACCTAGAGCACTTTTCTGTGCTGGCGTAGATTCTGTTGATTTGCTACTGCTTGTACTAGATTTGCGGCTCGCACTAGCCACGCTTTCAGCCTCACTCTCGTTTTCCGACTCTGAACTACTTCCTGACCCAGCTGATGATGACGATGATGATAAAGAACTGACGGAGGAGACATCAGAAGAATCCGACAATGATAAATCGTCCTTCAACTTCTGTGTTGAAATTTTTGACAACAGTCTATGTTTATGTGCAGAGGATCCTTCTGTTGCTTTCTTGGGTTTAGATTTCTGAGAGTCGGTCGACTTTCGCCTGTGTTGCACAGTTTTCGATTCATGTTTGTCTCTGTGTTTTTCACTTTTACTGTCTTTAGCTTTTTTCTCTTTATGTGGCGATTTTTCTGGTATGGGAAGTGACCTTTCGTGCTTTTTACGTCCTTCTTTGCGTGAGCTCGTTGAATAGGCAGGACTACTGTCAACCTTATTTGAAACACTAACCTTTGACTTATCACGTTCACTTTCCTCCCTCCTTCTTATTTCTGACTCAACGGAGGGAGATCTTTTCTTTTGTATTTCCTTCACAGAATCATTTTCAAAACTGTCTTTGTCCTTCAATTTTTGTTTTTCACTACTGGAGTGCTTCTTTTTTGCTGCTTTTTCTGAATGTGTGCTAGCTGCTAATTTCTCCTTCTCTTTCCGTTCTTTTCTCCTTTGTTTCTCCTTTTCTTTCTGTTTTTGTTTTATTTTCTCCAATTCTTTTACCCTTTCTCTTTCCTTTTCTTTCTCCCTTTCCTTTTCCCTCTCGATTTCCCTTTGTCTTTCCCGTTCTGCCAATTCTCTTTGCTTTTCCTTCTCTATCTCCTTTTGTTTCTCTAACTCCTTTAACCTTTCTCTCTCCATTTCTCTCTGCCTTTCCTTCTCCTTTTCGATTTCTTTCTGTTTTTCTCTTTCTCTTTCACGTTCTCTTTCACGTTCTCTCTCTCTTTCCCTTTCTTTTTCCCTCTCTCGTTCTCTTTCCTTCTCGCGCTCTCTTTCCCGCTCTTTTTCTTTCTCTCTTTCGCGTTCTTTTTCAGCTTCTTTATCTCTTTCCTTATTCTTCTTATCTGAGAATGATGATGATGACGAACTTCTTTTCAATTTCTTAGAATGATCATGTCTACTGGGAGATTCTGAATGTCTCTTTGACGAGGAGAATGTTACTGGCGAATCGGCATGCTTCCTCGAATATTTGTCCTTCGATTTTTCCTTAGAGCCATGAGAATCTTCACGGCTACTGTCTAGCTTACTTGATGATGAAGATTTTGTAGAGGAACCATCTTTGCTTTTGGACTTGCTGCTCTGAGATTTAACACTACTACTGTCATCTAAACTCAGTCTTGGCGGCTTTTCCTGTAAAAAAAGTGGATCATGAATAAAATTTACGGTAAAACTTGTCAGTGACTATATTGTGCAATGTTCAGAGATCATCATTAACATGAAAGCCTTGATTCATATGTAAATTCTAATACATGTAGTTAAATTCACACATTGCATGGTTCTTCACACAGTGGTTTTTCTCATTTAATTGGGTAGAGCACTAAATAGCCTATTGATTTTGGGAAAAAATACTGCTAATTTGGGAAGAAAAAAGGCTGATTAGTGTACAATGGAAGTTCAAAGTTTTGGGGAACTGCATGATTTTAAGGAAAATTATAATTGGGAAGAGCCCTTTTATAAGATACTGTTATGACTTAAATCTAAAAAAAATTTTTTTAATTTTATCATTTTATGTGAATCGATATTGACATGCACTTATGCTCCCAGTATCAGAATAATTATTTTTTACAACAACCACATCCTATAAAACGAGGAAATTTTCACATTTTAACCATAAGAAAATCAGGTAAATTTAACAAACTTAATTTAATATTCAATTTCCTTCTTTTTTTCATACAAAAGTCATAATACATATACATTGTAAACCAAAATAATTGACCTGGGTACGGGGAATTTTCAAACATTTTCTAACAAAAGTTGCAAAAAGACCAGCTTCAAAAATTCAGCCTTTATTTTCTGCAAAAACAAAAAGACCCTAAAAACCTATATGAAACCTGAAAACCTCTAGTAAATGAATTGCAACCAATAAAGTGCCAATGCAAGTAATATCTCATGTATGTGCAGCTGGAATAAACTCCAATCTAAATGGTAGCTGCCTAGCCTTTACAGAAATTATGGGTTATCAAAGTCCATTAAAATGATAAACACTCTAGAATTCAAAGTCAGGCCTGTCCATAATACATACATATATATTAATATATATATAAATAATACAAACATAAATTACCTTGCATGCTATAGAAGGTGTTTTGGCTTTCTTAGGAGATTCTGTAGTCTTAATGGGCGGACCAAATAGATTGGTTAAACTGGGCCTCTTCTGCCCCGGGGTCTTCATCCTGAACCTGGTTGGGAAAACAACATATTTAGAAATATTTTCGTTTATTTTCATATACACTTGAAAAACATACAAATTTCAGTTCTATTCTAGGAAGGGTTTGATGAGGGGATTCACTTCAGGTGGAAAATTTTTACATTTAGAGAAAGAATGAAAAAGAACAACAAATGTAATAAAAATCTCACTTTTCGATAAAAATTCCCCCCTAGGAATAGACAGTGACAAATTTGGTAGAAGTTTAGCTATATTACAGTTCTACAACTAAGATTTCAGTATCTAAAAAAAGTCGTGAAATGCAAGATTTCCCCTCACAAAAAATTTTTTTTAAACCCTGTCACAAAAAAAAATAAATAGAATTTTTTCATACCCTTTGTTTTTGGCCCCAATATGTTTTGTTATTTTGCCTTTGCTTTAAATTTATTATTTTCCAGGCAAAAGCTAGCTATTGTGTAAAATTTGACTGATTCAATAAAACCATTTTAAAGCCCCAAAATTTCTTCCTCATATAAAAAGAATTCAATTTTCCACAAAAACCATCTCTCACCCATTTTGGGATTAAACCCCAAACAGCAAAGTTTAAACCCCCCTTTCATTGAAAAGGCCCCTATACAATACCCACCCCAAAACCGGTTTTATCAAAATTTTTCAAAAAAAATTCTTTAAAAGGGAAAAACCCCCCGAGGCCCCCCAAGCCAAAAAAGTTTATAATTTTGAATTTTTTCCCAAAGTAAACCGGGCATTTCAAACAGAAATAACTTTAAAAGATAAGAATGAAATATAATCAGTAAAAAATTGAAAATCGTAATTTGTGCCATTCTAAGCCTGATTTGAGCGAAAAGCGTTGCAATGCTTTTCAGTTTGGGGTCATTCCACTGACCACACCTTTAGAATATTCTGGAAAAAGCGGAGTGAGGGAATAATCTGAAAATTTCCAGTTAGGTCAAGACCTATATCAAATGGAACATTAATCTCGAAAAAATTATTTCCAGTCCAATCATGTCAAAAAACCTCAGGGAAGGCCCTTTAATGCATTTCTAGGCAAAAAACAGAAATATTAACTATCCAATTTTTTGTCTTGTTTTTTTTTTAAACTGATAAGGGAAGCGGAGCCATTCCCAAATTTTCTATAAAATTCCCATTTCCCCCAAAATGATGGCAATAATTATTAAAAACTTGCTGTTGATGATATTACATGTATCATTTTTTCCCTAAATAACTCAATTTTGTTTCTTATTTAGGATGATCAGGATGTTTTTCCACAAAATGGTGAGAAATAAACACAACCACATTCTTACAATTTACCTACTCGTAATTAATTGTATGTGAAATGTTTAAAAAAATATTATAGCTTTTCCTGAGGCTTTAACATTTACCTTTCTACATAAATCACTTTTATTTATGGTTTGTAGAAAAATATATCCTTGCACTAAATATCCCTTATTACAAATAATCACAACAGAAAATATATTACATGTTGGGGACTTAAAATCACAGTTTCCTTCCTTAGATATTTTAAATTCCTCATTTACAGCTATGACCTTACTACAAATTAAATGTTATTAAATATTTATTTCCTGTATTTTAAATGATGTGATACAAAAGTATATGCATCATTTCTACTTCATTTCCATCTAATTATTAAGACAATTGTGTGTGTGGGAAGTGGGGTGGGGCTTTAATAATGTTCTGTTTGGGGTCTCCCTCTATACACATATGTTAGAACATATGAAGAAAGAAGGATGGAAGATGAAATTTGTTGTCAAAAAATAAGCAAATGTAAACAAGACAAGGATAAAGTAGTCAGGGCCAAAACACCATTTTTGGGGAAGGGGCGGTAGCCTTTTTCTTGGGGAAAATATATGTCATTTTGGCATACTTTGGGAAAAGAGGTCTCAAATTAAACACAAACTTTTTTAACAAGTTCTTCAAAATAGAAAAGCAAAAAGCACTGGGAAATACTTATAAGACAGTAAAAGACCTTATTTCAACACCATCATTTAATTTTGTTCTAAATTCTATGGGAAATTTCAAAAGACTGGGGAATTTAGAGGACCAAACTGGGGAAAAAAGAGGCTAGTTTGCTTGGGGAAGCAGCCTATATTTGGCCTCTACAAAGAAGAGTTTTTTGGCCCAGGTAGTATTTTGACTTCCATACAAAAAACTAAATCATGATAAATATACATTTGTACTTATTGCTAAAAAGCAAGATAGTTCAGGTCATTGGCCAATGTGTAACTTTTTTTAAACTTAACAGGACTGCCAAAATAAAAACCCTTTTGAGAAATGAAAATCAAAGCATTTCAAGGGCATAATGGGCCTTTAAAGTAAAAACAAGTAACTATATAAAATTCTTTACAGCTAATAAATTTTGGCCTTACTGCTGGAGAAATAACAATTTTAGATTTTGATCCACCGCTTCTTTTATGCATGAGTGATGTTTTACATTATACTTTAAGAAACAACCATGATTACAGGCACTATGTGCCTCACAAATGAAAACTTATATTATATTTGTCTTCAGAAATCACAAAAGTGTATATTATTAATGCTGTAGAAATGGATTTAGAGCATGCAAGATGCTTATCACCTGGATAGAACAGCGCTGGATGTGAAATAATTTGTGATAAAGATAGCAAAATGTAAACAAAGTCTTATTTTGACTTCCAAACAAAGTACTAAATGACTAGAACTTTAATAATTCCAGAAATGCTATAAAAGCAATAGATGACTTGGCTAAATAGAAAAATGACCATTTTTTTAAATTGAAAAACAAAAAAGGAAAACTTTTTGGAAAAATTCAAATTTCAGCATTTTTCAGACATAATGGGCCCTTAAGCAATGAATTATACACAAAAAACAGCCAGCTCATACCCCTCCAGCCTTCAGTAACTTCTTCTTGAATTCTTCAGTTGGGTTCTGAAATGTAAGCTTCTCGCATCTGGAATGGTTGACAGGTTCTGTTGTATGTAAGAACAGGTTATACTGGAATACAATTTTCCGTGGTTCTGCTTTGTTTTTGAAATAGATGTGAATAGGTAACACAAACCCTGCGTACCCTTGTTCGGAGACATGATATGGAGGCTCTTTGCATTCTGGAATTAACAATTTCACATATGTATATAGATAGTTCTTGACTTTTACAATATTTACCTCCCTTGCAAAAAGTAGCAGCCATTTTGTATAAATATTTAGTGTTCTTAAAAACAACTGGCTTTTTTTTTCATTTTTTATGAAAAGATCAAATTAACTTCTTAACAGGTTAATTCCATATATGATTTGATAGGAGTTAACCTGTTACTGCACTGAGCCAGGTGACAAATTATGTACCGACAGAATAACTGAACAGTGAGCTATTGCAAACATGGCAGCCTTAATAACAACAGAATAGGGAAAATAGCAAAAACTTCAAGTCTATAATACCCAATTGAATATTGATAACAATCACTGACGACTCTTCAAATCTATCAAAACTTAAGTATAAAGATTTCAATCTCAAAAATGTATAATACCTCTCTTTGGATTGTCAAAAGTATGATGAAGGTGAAAAACCACTTTCTCAACAAAGTTTGCAATGTTGTACTGCTCTGGTCCACGCACATACACAGTCCAGTCATGTGTAAATCTCTCCTTTGTTGGTTTTGAGCGTGGAGTGGCTCGATGCCCTAACTCAATTTTCACCTGCACGTCTGTCATCCTTCACTGTGTAATAGAAATTGATACAGCATTAGATTATTATTATACTAGAATAGTGTTGGTAGTTTTCACTGGATCACTGAAGAAAGCCACAATGAATTTACCAGAGCACAGTTTAGCCACCCTATCATTCCTGGGCAGTCTGTTTACCAGTACTAGTTGCCTTCTCTTTTGTAAGGAACTGATATTAAACTTCTGTACATGCCAGAGCAGAGGTACAGTATGAATGACCGAGCAAGGATTTCATGGTGATCAATTACAACGAAAATGACCGGCACCATCCTGGAATCAAACCCAGGTTGCGGGATTCACAGTCCAAAACTCTACCTATTGAGCCAACTGGGAGGCTAGTAGAACACAGATGTTATGAATAATATAAAATAGAAATACAATATATTCATTTTGTACAATCATTTGAAAATGTTATTTTCATAAGAAGGAACTTATTTTCATATGACCTGACACAATATTTTCTTCCACTTGTTTAGAGTTTTTGGTACTTTAAGTTTCTTATGAAACTTTCTATTGATGCAAATTATTCAAAAATTAAATAACATAAATAAAATTAATGTAAGCCTTTTAACTTTAAATTCCTTGAAAAATTGATAAAAAACCAAATTACAAATGTAATGACAAAGCTTTGGCACAAACTTCCTTTTTTAAATATTTTTTATTTCTGAAAATTTTATTTCCTGATAAACTATCAAATAAAGCATACATGTAAATACATAATTAACATAAACATTAAGATAAAGTTTTAAGTGTAACAGGCTAATTTGGCGAGGTAATTGTAGTTTTTTTTTTAAATTTTATTAGTAATATCTTTATTATCAATAAGTACTATTCACTCACTATTGTATGGTTTATAATATCAAATGAACAAGCCAGTGTAAAAATTTGCATGTTACATTGAAATTTTTTAAATTTAAATCAGTTTGATTTTTGACACAGTTTTGAAACTAACTAGTTGAGATGCAAGGACAGACATCTAACTTCTACATGTAAGACTATTGTAAAATTGATCTGTCTTGTAGTGGAAATATTGAAACTATGACTATTGGTTGGACAAGGAAAAAGCTTAAACTTATTTGAGGTAGGTGAACCTTTCTGCAAAATAAATTAAGACATTAGACTAGTTAGTCTAGTATAAAAGTTCATACAAGTAACATGGAAAAGCTGAAGTGTTAATATGTTTGAGATGTATAAGTTAAATTGAAATCATATAATTAAATATCAATAAAAAAAAGTTTAACATAACTGAGAAAAATTCTTCAGTAGTTAGCTGGTGCCGTTTTTTGAAAATCTTGAATTGGTTCTATATTTGACCTATAATTAGATTTCAGGACGCTTTTGTTGAAAAATCATCTAATAAAAGCACCTACACAATTCAGACATGTTGCTAGAAGGCCTGGCAGTCCTCTGTTTTAAATTTCACTTCAAATAGAATTTGTGATGAAGAAAATCATTAAATAAATATCATAATCATTGATGAGAACTAAAGTAATGATGACAACAAAGTTACTTTTTTATTTTCCATTTATATAAATAAAACCACAGTGTCTATTCTAGGAGGGGCAATGGGGGGATTCACCCCTATTTTTGACAATTCACCCCTATTTTTTGAGAGGAAGGGGGATAATTTTACATAGACAAAGACGGAAAAAGATCAACAAATGTAATAAATTCTCACTTTTCGATAAAAAAAACCCCTGTTTTTCGAATCCTAGAATAGACACTGAAACCATCATGGTTTAATAAGTTAAAAACTCTGATTACAGATTAACAAAAATGGTGGACAAAATGTTTGGAAACACTTTGAACATTTCAATGATAGGCTGAACACCACTATTTCATTTCATATCTATTTAAAGGTTCAAAATACCTGCCAGGGCTCAAGCTAGGTTCAAAATTTAGGGAGAAGTCACTTCTCCCTCCAGCTGATTTAGGGAGAAGTGGGGAGACTTTAGGGAGAAGTGAGGAGATTCATTTATTGATGTTTGTTGTATGTTATCGCAATTATGTTGACTCACTGTACATATCTTATTAAATGAATTGGATTTGTGTTACAAACAGAATATTAAATTTTTTTTTTAAAACAGAGACATAGATAGCTTATTATTATAACTATTGTTATCTTGTCTCTTGTTTAAAAAGAAAGTGTTTGAAACAAGTTATAAGAAAATGAGTATCGTGTAATGCCCATTGCAATTAAATGAAGATAAAAAAAAAGCCATATTGATTCCTATCATGGATCATATCATGGGTGGATTAACAGTTATTCCCTTCTGTTTACTAATTAAAAAGCTTGCGCCGGTACATTGTATTCCCTATTTCACTTATGTTTGTAAAGGAAAAAAACGGTAACATAACGAAAGAAAACCGATCTTTAAATTTCACTTCATTTGTAAAAATACAGTTGTAAACGCCGTTAATTTTATCAAAATTTAACTTTCGTCGACAAAAAAAAGGTTATTCATAACTTTCATTTAAAAAAATTACCGTTAAACAGTTATTATGTTCGAGCGTCCTCTTAATTCTGACAATCATTTGATAGTGAAAAAAATTTAATTGACGTTTATCCGTCCATCATAAATAATTGTTACAGGTAGTTGTTTGTTAGCGATTTAATGAATTGGTTAAATAATGTTGCCTCGATTAAAACGTGAATTACGATTGGTTTCTCGCACGTATCTGTAATCTCGCCCGTGGGGGCGGAGTCTTAATTGTTCCTTCGGCGTCTGTTAATTAGACTTTTATGACATGTTGGTAAAACAAACGGATTAATGACATTTCGCGTTGTGATTGAGATCTTGGGCATGACAGTCCCTTTTTCCCGGCGGCCGAGGGGGTAAAACATAAAGCAAACACACACAACATGTTATTCACAGTTTTCAATAATGGATCAATAAAATCGGGCGACTTCATCTTCGCTTTCATGTAGAATGTCGGCGAAGTCAGACGGAATTCAGCGACTATTTCGCCCGAATCGCCCACTAGCTCGAGCCCTGCCTGCATTAACTTACTATTTATGAAGTCCAAAAAAGGTCTGATAATACTAAAAATTTTATAGCAAGCTCGAAGAGCAGGCCCAAAGGGCTTGCTCGCAAAGAGAGCATTACAGTAAGGCGAGTACCTGCATGATACTGATGGTTTTAAAAACTTTCACTGGAAGTAATACAAAATTATGGGAAATTGACACATCGCAACTTTACAAATAACAAGATAACAACAAAAGCGGAGGAATTCTGATTGAGGACAGATGCGTAGACTGGTCTCCTGCGCACTTCAATAGGAATCAAAATAGGACAGGGAACCAGAAATAACTGAAGCAGTGTATAAAATACCGGCTGACTATTTTAATACAGAAAATGTAAAATAAAAATGAAAGATTAGTTTATACTATAATTTTCACGGTAAAAGTATCCCGGGACAACCAATATCCAATCAGTTAAGCCGTTTTTAGCCAATATTAAATGGAAGGGGAAATTATACTTTAAATTTATTTTAGCTATTAATGCATCTATCAACTCTTATTCATTTTAAGGTTGGTACATTTTCAGCAAGTCTTGATCTTTCTTAGAAATTCAATAAAAATGATATGACCCACTTGGGTCACTCCCAGGAATATTTTAACCTAAATTCAAACAGCAGGGTAATCACCATGGAAAATTTGTTCGAGATAAATCAGGGCCACTTAAAATTGTAGAAAATTTCACAACAGTCTATTCAACGATTTTCAACAGTTTTTTTTAAAGATTTTAAAAACTTACACTAAATGTTATAACATATGTACAGTACAATGCATTGGTATGACTAATGTTAATGTGTATAAAAAGCCAGTTAAAGGTGTCATGTCTTAGTACGATATTTGGGGTGCAAAATGATAAATGCATCCAATCTTTACAGCCATTTTACCTTCCCCACTTTATAATATTAGCAAATATGGAAATTTGTCTAGATCTGCAGGCTGGTATCGCTTACAAAACAATTATTCTACAATCATCACATGAAAAAAATTGATGACAATATAAGATTTTATTAATAAGGACCCCCATGTAAAGTCTGATAAATATTTAGTGGTACATCATATAAATAAATGTTTTAAATACACCTAGGACTGAGGTAAATGGTAAAACTCTTTAGCCAATACTTTATAAAAAAAACTAACTTGCTTGGAAAAATTTTACCACTATTTTAAATGAGTGACTATTTTGATATAGTTAAAATTGGACAATTTATATAGTGTCACTTAAAACAAACAGTTTCTTATTGTTTTTCTGATAACATTTGACAATCAATCAAGCGTGGCATTTCTGGAAGTTTTGAAGTTAATACAACATGTGACTTTATGCAATTTAGTCGGACATAAAATCAGTGCCACAGAATTAAGAATGTGTTTGAATTTAGGTTGTGATTGAAAATTGGTTGTTTCGGGATAGATCTAAATCTAGCTCGCTTTGAGGCTTTGCCTTTCACATATTACTTGATATTAAATCATAAGAGCTGTCTGCGTCATAAGTGACCGTTAATTTCATATTATAAAGAACTGATGGAAGGTGTCACATAACCTAAATGTCTATGGAGTAGCAGTCAAAAAAACAACAAATTACCCCACCCACTATTTTGCCATTAAAATTATTTAGCATTTTATGAAAAAAAAATCTCTTAAGTCTTAAAATTCCACTGTAAAGAATATGCAGTTTTTTAGCATCATTCTTTCAGATTTTTTTTATTACCTTGACGAATATTTATCCTCTTTACTACATCAATTAAACTGAATTCGCATTTTAATTTTAAGATTTTATTTGGAAAACCCACATTGACGGAAGTTACAAGAGCGCATGCGTTGTGCTAATTATTTTAGGAATTTATGATAATCGCTTTATTGACTATCTGGGGAAAATAATGCCATTGCTGTGTATTGAAAAAAGACGGTTATTATTTAATTGATCTCATTTATTTATAAATTATGGATAGATTATTATCACTCATTATTTGCAAGATCAGAAACTCTTCTTAATTACGAACATGCAGCATAAAAAATTTTTTATTTAACTAATTTATAGATCTAGCTCTTTTTATTTGTATTTTTATAAAGACATCCTGTCATCCATATACATTTAACAATACAACAGTTTAAGCTTTCTAGGTCAATACATTTTACATCATTGTTTACAGGATAATGTTGTTTCACATGTTTCTTTCAAAGTGTTTCATTAGTTTTGACTGACTTATACACAGACACTTGGGGTTTAGAGCTCAAAACGCCTTTAAAATCCAAAGAAAATGCATATTTGTCAATCCCAGCACATGTACTGATCATATATATCAAAAAAACTTAATATAAGCCGTTTTGAAAAAAATCATATTTCAACATCTATATTATATATGATCAGTACATGTGCTGGGATTGACAAATATGCATTTTATTTTGATTTTAAAGTGTCTGTGGACTTATATAGCTGCTTTACTTTTTGTTACTGTTTTGACTTGTTTATACTTTTACTTACATATTCTAACTTATTGTCCAGTTCAGAACTGTTCAATAGTTACCAGAGAAATGTGTAAGTGGCCAAAAAGTTCAGTTGGAAGAGCCGCAGAATAGATTTGAGGGTCCCGGGTTAGAGTCAAAGTCAGGCTGCACATTAGCTAAAGATACTTCAACGAACAGGTTTTATAGTTGTGCTAGTTACTGTCGCAACGTCAAAAAAAAGCGACATATAAAGTTATGGAAGCCCAAACTAGCTGCACATTATTCTCACTCAGTCTGTGTGTATCTTTATCTTTCAATGTCAGATCCTCACCCAAATAAGCGAACTATAAAGAAGGTAGAGTGGTGTAGAGGAAGAGCATTTTACTCAAAATAAATTCTACTGACTCCAAATTCTCAAGTCATGGGTTTAAATCCAACTAAGCAATGAGATTCTTTTTCAAATTTCACAATACACACTGGTGAAATTACTTAAAAAACGCAGGAAGTAGTGTTTAGGCATAACTTCTTTTTCTTCTTTCAATATAGTACAGACATTTTCCTGTGTATACTTGTACATACTTTAAGCACATGTCTAGGTCCCGAAAAGGGGTGACATTCATGTGATATCAAAAAGCAAACAAACTATTATAACTGGATATCTTGTCACCGACACCGCACAGCAATACATGTGCATACAAGAGAGGTTGAAAAATTAATCTGGTTCAATATGAAAACAGTTATAAATACTCAAATGAGTACTAACCAGGTAAAATATTGTTAGTGACGGCATGGCAGAATGGTTAGTTATTTTATGATCGCTAGCCATATGGGTTCAAACCCTGTCAGGGGCAAGTTGTTTCAATGAGCAAGAAACTTTACACTCATTGATCATTTTCCCTATTCCATGACTATATCTTTTCAGATCACCAACAGAACTGGATGATGATAATGCAGATGATGAAGATGATGATAGAGTTTCCCAGGAGCCCAGTATATGGGAGGATGTGCCAGACTCCATCTTACTGCATATATTTTCATTCTTAGAAGTCCCTCATTTAGGACAAGTAGCGCAGACATGTAAGGTAAGGTACATTGTATTGCATTTTGTTAATAGCATGGAATGTAACTGTTCAATTACTTGTCCATCTTTTGCAGTTTGTTGTCTTGTAAGGCATACATTGTATAGCCCAAAATTTTCAGTTGATCTTAAATCTTAAAGACTTTATTAAAAGCCTATTTTTTCAAAAGGTGAGAGGTTTAGGATTAGGGGCAGGTGTGGGAATGAGTTTGACAAGTGTCAAGGTATACATGTAGATCTGATTATGAATATACATGTAGGAGAATACTGTATGTGTAATTGGTAGTTGGTCTAGTAAACACAACTACAGAATGTGTTAACTTGAGGTCCTGGACTGGCTGCATTTTGTTCTTCACCTTATGACATTGATTTTAAGATATGGATATTTTAATTGTGTTTTGTAAACATTTATTTTTTCATAATTTATGTAAGCTTTCAAACTCTTGCATATTTGTCAGATTTTTGTTTATCACTATATTGAAAAGGACATTTTACTACATGACAATATACTTTAAACTTTGTTTCAAAAGAGATCAATAAAACTGCTTTCAACCATTTTTTGACGAAACTTATGTTATATTGTACATTATCTTACCGGATGTATTACACCAGTTATGTCAATACAAAGTCATGTATGGGATCTTTATCTTTTATTCATTGTATTTTAATGAATAATCTGATGAAAATGTATTGAAGAAGATTAATATAGGTTTCTTTTATTTCTTATTATTTAGACCTGGAACAGAGTTTCTCTGGATGAGAGCCTGTGGAAAGACTTACTACATATAGAAATAAATGATACACCAGGACATATTGCACAGGGAAAGGCAAGTTGGCGAGAAGAAGTGAAGCGTGTACGATACCATGTACCCACTATACTTACGGAGACGCTAGTAGAACACACTGACGAGGTTCTTCATGTCAGCTTCTCTCACAATGGCAAACTGTTCAGTACAACTTCGAAAGATGCAACTTTGAAGGTATGATATGTATTTGAATTTCAACTTTTTCCACAGTATTGGTATCTTCCTAGTGATAGGTGAATTGTTTTATGTAAGTTAAGTTATCTAGATAATTTACTAGGGCCATCTGTGCCTGAGTGGTTAAGGTTGTTGATTTCAAACCACATGATTGTCACCGCTGTAGTTTTTAGCCATGCTTTTCTGGATTCTTCATGTGAGATAGCTCTCAAGCTAGCTTACAGAACATCTTGGTTCTACTCAGGTGCCCGTTTGTGCCTGAAATAATGCACTGAGGGGCACCTAATGTCTTCTGCCTTCAGTAAAGCTGAAAATATATTTATAGATATATGCCAGATATTTGGTGTCAGATGCAAAACCACTTTAAACCAGTAATCACAATTAAATTCCTTTGATACTGGGCCATAGCTGTTGTAACTTAGTTCCATTTTAAAACCTGTTTAAATCCTTGAATATTTCATAGATCAATATATAAGACAACAGAGTTACATACAAGTGGTTTTGAAATGGTAATATTTGCAGGTATGGAGTGTTGGTTACCCGACCGTGTTAAAATACAGTAAAGATTTCCGGGAATTGCTGGCCTGGGATTTTACGCAGTTTTCAAGTTTCAACGAGTCAGATACTATGGTCCTGGTTTCTAGCGTGAAATCAACCCACCTGATGGACAGGAGGGGATACATGGCTATTCTTTCTCTAATTCATGGTAAGTAACAAAACAGGGGTCATAAAATACGAATGTGACTAACAAAAGCGTTGGAGCACCACAGTAGATACCGTATTCCGGAATATACTGGACAAGGCGCTTGAATGATTAAATGCTAAAATCTCGTCATTTCACCTACTGAAAAGCACTTTAAGAGGTCTAATTCATCTCTTCAACCTAATTTTTATATATGATAATTAATGAAAAATGTAAAAATCGACGGAAAAAAGCAATATTTTTATGCCACCGCAGCATCTGTGCTACGGTGGCATATAGCGATTCACCTGTGTGTGTGTGATGTTTTGTGTGTGTGTGTTCTATAGATTAATTATATAGTGAACTTAGAAAATCTTCTTGTGAAAAACCACTAGTCCAATTTCAACCAAACTTGGCAGGATTGATCCTTGGGTGAAGAGCTTCCAAAGTTGTTCAAAGAATTTTATTCCATACAGAAATCTGGTTGCCATGGCAACCAAAAGGAATTATAAGAATAAATTTAAAAAATCTTCTTGTAAAGATCCAAAAGGCCTAGAGCTTAGATATTTTGCATAAGGCATTGTCTGGCAGACCTCTACTAAGGTTGTTCAAATTATAGCCCTGGGGTCAAAATCGGCCCCGCCCTGGAGGTCATTGATTTCACTATATGTACATATAGTAAAAACTTAAAATACCTTCTTGTAAAGACCAAAAAGGTCTAGAGCTTAGATATTTTGCATAAGGCATTGTCTGGTAGACCTCTACCAAGATTGTTCAAATTATAGCCCTTGGGTCAAAATGGGCCCCGCCCCGGGGGTCATTGGTTTTCACTATATGTACATATAGTAAAAACTTAAAATACCTTCTTGTAAAGACCCAAAAGCCCTAGAGCTTCGATATTTTGCATAAGGCATTGTCTGTTTAAAATCGGCCCTGCCCCGGGGGTCATTGGTTTTCCGTATATGTATATAGTAAAAACTTACAGTAAACTTACTTGACAAATGCTAGAGGTTAGATATTTTGCATGAACCATTGTGAAGTGAACCTCTAGCAAGATTGTTCAAATTAAAGCCCTGGGATCAAAATTGCCCCCACCCCCGGTGGTCATTCATTTTCAATATATACATATAGTAAAAAATCAAAAAAATTTATTGTCTGAAGATACAAGGCTTAGAGCTTTAATATTTTTTAATGATATCATCTTTAGGTACTCTACCAAAGTTGTTAAAATTTTGCCTCCAGTGTCAAAATTAGCCCCGCCCCGGGGGCCATAGGTTTTCCTTATATGTATTAAGTAAAAACTTAAAAAATCATCTTCTCTAAATTTACAAAGGCTAGAGTTAAGATATTTTGCATGAAACATTGTGTAGTGAACCTCTAGCAAGATTGGACAAATTATAGCCCTGGGGTCAAAATTGGCCCCACCCCCAGGGGTCATTGTTTTTCACTATGTACATATATACTGAAACAAAAAAGAAACTTTCTCCAAGCTTGAATGTAGATATGTTAGTACAGTTTTTCAATCCTTTTGAAACTCGATTTTTACGTTGAATAAACATATTGGGCTTTTATACGGGGATTAGCTGACCGATTTTGCAAACAAAACGAGTTTTACATGCTACTACATGTATATAAGTGTGTACATCTAAGTGGTACCCTTGAACAACTGGCACATACTTTGCGAAAGTTTCTTTTTTGGTTCAGTATAGTAAAAAATTAAAAAATCTTCTTGTCTGAAGGAACAAGGCTTAGAGCTTTGATATTTGGTATACATGTATAATATCATCTATGGGTCCTCTACTAAAGTTGTTTTAATTATGCCCCTAGTGTTAAAATTGCCCTGCCCAAGAGGCGATAATTTTCCTTATATGTATAAAGTAAAAACTTGAAAAATTCTCTTCTCTGAATTGACAAAGGCTAGAGGTTAAATATTTGGCATGAGACTTTGCGAAGTGAACCTCTACCAAGATTTTTCAAATTATAGCCCTGCGGTCAAAATTGGTTCCGCCCAGGGGGTCATTGATTTTCATTATATACATATAGTAAAAAAATAAAAAATATTTTTGTCTGAAGGTACAAGGCATAGAGCTTTGATGTTTGCTATATAATATCATCTGTAGGTCCTCTACCAAAGTTGTTCAAACTTTTCCCCTGGTGTCAAAATTGGCCCTGCCCGGGGGCAGTGATTCTCATTATGTACACATAGTAAAAACAGAAAATAAAACAAATGTTTTCTGAATTGGAGAAAGCTACAGCTTAGATATTTGACTTGAAATGTTGTTTGGTGGACCTGTATCAAGATTGCTTTGAATTAAACCCTTGGGTCAAAATTTTGTCTTGCCCAAGGGGACAGTGACCTACTTTCTTGTCCTTTGATGTACAGCAATGAAAATTTGACCATGTGCACAGTTTTAGTTGTAAACTTGAACTTTGATATCAGGTGACATAGATTTTGATGATGTGACCTACTTTCTTGTCCTTTGATGTACAGCTTTGAAATTTGAACCATGTGCACAGATTAAGATGTAAAGTGAACTTTGATAACAGCTGACCTAGATTTTGACAAAGTGTCTTACTGTGTTGTTCTTTGATGTAGTCATGAAATTTAGGCTGTGTGAAATATGACCTTCACCACCAAATTCACTAGACTCAAGTGCATTGATATATTCCTACTCTGATCTTTTATTGGATTAATAATAGATTTAACCACTAATCTGATAATAAGAATTAGATAGGTAAGGGATCTATGCATTATGACAATTTTCAATTGTATAGAAACAAAAAAAAAATCTGTTCCTACACTACTATTTAGTGTTGTATTAATGCGGTGGCATAGCATTTTTCTCAAATGCAATCTTGTTCTACATCGTAATAATGATTTCTGCAAGCGTCTAGAGGTACAACACTGTAGCGAATTAAATCCATAAAATATAAACTAAAACCCATCTTTACAATCCTTTTTCTACCTTCCGTTTTTGTCAAACTGTCAAATGCATTTACATTGCTAATACATGGATGCTAAGGGGAGTGGTGGATTTGATGATTCTAAATTTCCCGTTTATTTTTTCACCAAATTAGAAGTTACTGTTAGTTATGGTGAGACGGGCCAACTACTAAGATATGACCAAAAATGTGTGCTGAAGTACATGAAGTAAGCTTAAAGATCAGAAGAAAATAACTAAACAAACTCTTTATTTTTTATAGATTTTGAGATTTTACGTGTGGTGACAATGGATCCATCTCAGTTGTTCGGAGCGTGGTTAGATGATACAACATTTCTGGGTGGTAGCCTGGAAATCAGCCTAGATAGATTTGCAACAACAGTTCAGATAGAGGCCCATGAGGTCTGTATAAAAATTAAAGTCCCTTTGTTAACACTTAACCAGCTGAATTTCTTAAATGGATTAGTCAATATTCCAATTTTGGTACAGTTCATTTATGATCTTTTTGCTTATGATTATCGAGATAAATATTCAAAGTTTGTCAGCAAACAGAGTTGATGTTAGTGTAAAGAAATTATAAGTTCTTGAACAATGCCTGCTTGTACCTAGAAATAAGCACAGCATGGCATCTGATGTCTTCCTATCTAATGAATGCTGAAAATTTGTTACTTTAGTATGAACATGAAACTAGGTCAACACTAATTTCAAACATGTCCTAGATGCTAAAACAGATAACAATCAAAGTTTTAACATTATTTTACAGGTCAACGAGATATTTTCACCTATGCCATTTCCGGCCCCATCACCAAGTGTTGAAGAGAGCTCAGGTAGACCTTTATTTACATTCAGCAGTGAGACGGCTAGTCTAATCAAGTTTCTAACTGTTGCAAATATTGCCAAGTCGAATGCTGCAGATGTCGGAAATAATATTAAAGAGAGTCTCGATGAATTAAGTATTATTATGGATGGTGAAGAGTCTGGTATACCGGATGAACATTTAGACTGTGATAAAGATGAAGATGAACATTGTGATGAGCATGAGATCTCGGTCAAGGGTGCTGCTTTACTGTCTAACAGAAAAAGTGATAAATGTATGACTGATGAAATGGAATGTTCAATGGGAGATATGGCGGAAAGTGTAGAGGAGTATCAAATGGAATTGGTTTCCATGGCAACAGATGATAAAAATATATGCAGAAACTGTTCAAAAGTAATAAAATCTGAAAAATCAGTATTATCGGGACGGTCTATGTGTACTTGTGTGAACGAGGGTAACGGCAACATAGGATCCCGAGATAAGTTGACAGAGAGACCGTCGGTTTTGGAATTAGGTGCTTGTTGCTCAAAATCTCTGAAAAATCCCACTGCTACAGAGACAGGTACAAAACAGATAGAGAAAAATTTAATATTAGTAACGGGAGAATTTGCAGTAGCTCTTCACCAGATTGGTTTTAAAAATGTGCCTCCATACAGTAAAGAGTCAATTTTAGCAAGTGGTGCAACTCCGATGGACTCGGATAATCCCGAAGGTTTTATGGTGGTTAACTATAGTAATAATGATATACATATTGTGCATAGACAGCAAAAGTTAGACACACCAGACCATCTGATTGACCTTTTTGGTCATGTGACCGGACTGTGCTTGACCCCAGATCAAAGGTTGGCTTCTTTTGTTACTCGTTTTTCCTGATTTTCTGAAAGGCACTCCATAAATATTTACAAGCTTGTTTAACAGTTTCATGTTTCTTTTCAAGAAATATCTTTTGAGGTAATTAATTTTAAGTGGATTGTTTGAAACTGGGATTTATATGATTTTGATTAAAGGACAGGATTTTTTCGAAAAATATTAAAACATTTCAGAATCATGTAACATGTACATTGTATGCCCAAATTGTATAAAATAACCATGTAATAGAAAGTACATTTTAAGATATGAATTAAGTGTCTCTTATAGTATGAAATATCACCACTAGATTGCTAGGTAGCTATTGACATTTTTTCTTCCAATTTTATCAAGTAATGTCATGTTTCATGATATAGATTAACTATGTGAAATTGTTTGTAACATATTATAATTATGTCTTTATTTAATGTATCAAAAGTGTCATATTTCGTAATAAAACAATAATGTAATTAAATGTTTAACTACATGTATTTGAATTAAAAGAAGTCTTTGACTAATATTTAATATATTATTAGATAATGCATGTACATTGTATGTTTAAACTCTTCCCACTCTAAATATCTTAAATGGACTTGTCCATCTTTCATTCTTGATAAAACCGTTCATCATTTTTAGGGAAAAATTCCAAGATAAGCACAGACTGAGTAGTAAATAGTACAGGCTATTATCAGATTGCACAGAAGTGCTGGCTGACCTTGGTCATCACTGACCACATGGGTAGAATCTTTTGCTGTGTGCAGATTAAAGCTTGAATACATAGTTCATATAATTTTTTCAGGTATCTGTTTATAAATTGTCGACCATGGGTTGGTGACATTGACAGGACTGACCCGTGGGCAACTCCAGATCTCTCCCCAAACATAGAAGTGAGAATAATTGACCTCTGCACTCTGAAAGATCTAGGGGTTCGTTATAAAGGACATAAAGGATTTTCTCCGCCAAACATGTGCTGCTTTGTTTTCCTAGATGTTAGTCACGATTTTGTTGCAAGGTATGAATAACTTCATCAATTTTCATCTTAAGTTTTTAACCCTTACCATACTAAAAATCCTTACCACATTAAATATCTATCTGTGGCTAAGGGGTTAAGGTTGTTGACTTTCAAATCACTTGCTGCTCATCACTGTGGGCTCGAATCCCGACAGGGACTTTTGGTTTCTTTCATGTGAGGAAGCTATCAAGCTAGCTTACAGAATGTTGGTGGTTCTACTCTGGTGCCTGTTCATGCCTGAAATAATGAACAGAGGGGCACATTAGGTCTTTCTCCATCAGAAAAGCTGTAAAGTCGCCATAAGACCTATACTGTGTTGTTGCGATTTAGAACTGAATTAAAAAAAAAACCCATTTGAACTGACTAGTCCATCTTACAATCTAGACAAAACCATTCATTATTTTTAGATGAAATTTAAAAAAATATACAAAATTGCACCAAATGATCTTGGTCTCCAGTGACTAGTGGATTCAGTTGCTGCCAGTTAGCTAAGGGTTCATGTACCTTCCACAAAGTTTGATTTAGAAATGATCTGTCTCGAGGGTAGAATTGTCGAATATCCATCATTTTGTGCATGAATGGATCTTTTATCACTTAAAGGATTTAAACCCACAGCCGAAGGAGTAAGAAATCATATTGAAGGGCTAGTCAGTAAATTTTTTATATAGATAAATTATGTCATATTATCTTCAGAGAATTTTTGTGGCAAAAAAGAATGATTTAGAATATTTGAATATAATATTTGAATATTTTTAATGGAATAAAGGATCAAGAGTGCTACATTAACCCTTTCGCTGCCAGAGGGGTTATTTATTAATTGATCACCTATTTGCCAGACGGTTTTCTAAGAAATTACTGTATTATTAATTAATATAATTATTATAATTTGTTATTAGTATTATAATAATTATATATGTTTCCAAATCTGCTAGTATATAATAATTATTGTCGATGGTATAATTATCTATATATTTATTATTATTATTATTATTATTATAATTATTATTATAATTATTATTATTATTATAGAAACGGCAAAAGCCGTCCATATGGCAAATACGCTGAAAATAATAGGGACGGCATATGCCTTCCCTATGGCAGTGAAAGGGTTAAAAGAAATATTTTGAAAATTTATGAATGTTTAGTCTTTTTGTCTATTACAGTGGTAGTGAGGATGCCAAAGGTTATCTATGGGACCGACATTACCAGTCGCTCTTAGCCTCGTACGAGCACAGTCAAGGCGTGGTCAACGCTGTAGGATTCTGTTCGACCAATCAGGAGTACCTAGTTACTGTCTGTGATGATAAGACAATTAAAGTATGGCGATCAAAAGCGGAAATTAAGAGATTACAGATTAAGACGCCGGAGGACGCTGAAATATTATAACAAAGAATTTATTATATATACATGCATACTTATGTACTTAGAATAATATATTATCCTGGTTCCATATTTGTACTATAGACACATTTGCTTATTTCAGATATCCTTATTTCACTTTGTGTTACTCAGTTTTTAGTGGTTGAATGTTAGATATTTACTCTTTTTTGGGGATGGACCTTGAAATTGTTTTCTTTTTTTAAGGGTGAACCTTTAAACTTGTACTGTTTAAGGGATGGATCCTTGAATTGTTCTCTTTTCTTTGAATTGTTCTCTATCTAGTACAGAGTGCTTTTGAGAACTTTGTCACAGATTCCTGGCCAGCTGCCAGAACTGTAATTATATAATTATAGTGTATTTGCCAGGGCCAATACTAAGTTTTGCAGGAATTTACTTTTAACAACTGAATATTTATTTTTTGTTTATTTAGTAAAAACGTATTTTAGGTAATATAAAACCTATTTTTGTAGGAAAACAATTAACAAAATTATGATAAAATGATTTTTTTTTCGACCTCAAACCAAGAATTTGTTAAAAAAATAAATAATAAATTACATTATATCCAAATACTGGTATACCTATCTTGTTGTAGTTGGTACAATGTGTCAGATGGATAAACAGGGGTTTTTTTTAGGCAGTGAAAAGGTTTGTTTTTTTGGCATTGTGTGTGAGCATGGAAGATGTTATTTTGCATAGATTATTATAGCATAATATTCTTTTGTGCCAAATATTGTTATCTTTTGTTATTAATTGCGGCTGTGCTATAAGTATAAAACATTTGAGCTGCGCCATGACAAAACCAACATAGTGCGTTTGCGACCAGCATGGAGCCAGACCAGCCTGCGCATCCGCGCAGTCTGATCAGGATCCATGCTGTTCGCTTACAAACCCTGTTACAATTACAGAAACTGATAGCGAACAGCATGGATCCTGATCAGACTGTGAGTATGTGCTGGCTCGTCTGGATCCATGCTGGTCGCAAACGCACTATGTTGGTTTGTCATGGCGCGGCTCATTTTTTTCACAAACCAATGTGATCAGAGAGAAAAGTTAGATTTTATACAGTACAGGATAACCTTGGCAGAACAACAACCTTTGGGGGATAAAAATTATGGTTGTTGCTAAGAGGGTGTGGCTTTAGAGAGGTTAAATTTAACATAAAGTCTCACTGGGAAACACTTGAATTTGTTTTTTTTTTATGAGATAATTGCTAAACAGTGGACCACTCTCCAAAGGTTGCACAGTATATTTGATTTTTTGTGAAAATGGGATATATCTCATTGAGGTGATATATAAAAGAATATCACATCATAGTGACATATATTCCATATTTACTAAAAGCAAATAGACCTCTTTATCTTGTGTCATGGTCATTAGATTTTACAGTAAAATTAATCTGGCATTACCATAAATGGTGCCAAACTAGATTGAATTGTATGACATCGTGAATATCTGTAAAATTTATCTGGCATACCAAAAATGGTGCCAAATTACGCTTACATGTATGACATAGTGAAAATCTGTATACATTTTGCTTCTATTCTGCTCTGCCCAGCAAAGTTTATAGATTTTACATAAAAATTAATCTGGCATCACCAAGAATGGTGCCAAATAACATTTAATTGTATGACATCATGAAAATTTGTTTACATTTTGCTTCTACTCTGCTATGCTATGCATTGTCTTGAATGAGAACAAAACTTCTGTATTTTACCAAGTGTAATATAGTGTGATATAACTAATATTTCATTGGTGTATTTTAATATCAGACTTGAGACAGTTCGTTGAACACCTAAAGTTTTTTTTACACTGAAACCCCTTGAAATATATGTGGACAGGTTTAAATTAAGATTTTGATTTTTTTCTTTGATAATTTTCTAAACATGCACCTTTGAGCAATATATGAGCCGTGTCATGACAAAACCAACATAGTGCGTTTGCGACCAGCATGGATCCAGACCAGCCTGCGCATCTGCGCAGTCTGATCAGGATCCATGCTGTTCGCTATTAGTTCTCTACTTGTAGTAGGGTTGATAAGCAAACAGCATGGATCCTGATCAGACTGCGCGAATGCGCAGACTGGCCTGGATCCATGCTGGTCGCATACGCACTATGTTGGTTTTGTCATGACACGGCTCAAATATATTTCTGTACATGTATTAATTGTATAATTTTGCAATGTTATTATTTTTGATCATGTAAGTATTTCAACAGAAATATTAAATCTTTACATAGGGCTTTTTGTATTTCACCAGCTGCAAATGTAACTTTGAATAAGAGTTCATTTGTTCAGAAAGAATGATCTCTTAAAAGATACCCTTCGTTAATACAAATATATATATTTCTGAAGTTTGTTAAATGAATCTATGTTTTGACAATAAATACAATAGATTTTTAAGAAGATTAATGACTTCTTACTTTATTTTTGAGTGCAGTTGTACTTTTTCATTTTTCATCCATTTACAGAAGGGAGCATAATTTAGCCAATGTGCCATATTGTCCCCATTCCCCCCCCTCCCCCGCGCTGCATTTTTTTTCACAAGGGAGCTATAAAATGTGCTTTAAAATATGTTAATAAAAGGTACAATTCAATTATAAAAATCGATATTCATTATTCTGATATATGATACAGTGTTATTTTTTAATTATTTTACATTACAGGTCTAGAGTCTCATTTTTTTTCTCAGCACAATGTGATGGGGCCCTTATTAGAGGGGTGGGGGCGTTAATTGGAAACAATACAGTAATGGGTTTAAGGTCTGAACTAATGCACGGAGGGGCACCAGAGGTCTTCCTCCACCAATTAAGCTAGAAAGTCACATTTTAGTTATGACTAAAAATCTATCAAATTAAAGAATAATTATACCGTTGTGTGGCTGAGGGATAGCTATTAAGGGTTTAGGCATCAGAATTGAAGCCAGCATGCGTGGTCGTAAGACGAATCTATGAATCTCTTAGCTCCAGCAGGTGAGGTGGTTTTGACCCATGGTATTGCTTTAAGTTAACACCCGAAGTTAGCCAAAATCATATTTCCTGTTTCGGCGCCCTATGATAGTACACCATAGAAGCAAACAATAAATAATAATGGTATGATATGCCCTGGACGACTTGTATGTTTTGCTTTAATTAAAACGTTTTATTTAACCTTTTCCGCACTAAATATCTCAAATGGACTTGAAATCTGGATAAAAATCTTTTGTAATTCTAGGGAAAGTTTCAAAATAGGTAATGACCAGATAGCGCAGTCAATGATCAGAAGGCGTGGTCTGGGTGTGCCGGCTGATCTTGGTCTGCACTGGTGAGTGGTCGCATAAGTAGATTCATTTGCCGTTAACAGGCTAAGGGCTACAACTACTCTTGTAAACGTAGGTTGACTAAGGTAATTTTGTTACAATCTAGATGTAATCTTAATTGATGACCTCTGTCATCATACTTATTGATGCCTGAAAAAAAAGAAAAAAAACTTCTGTAAAGTCTCCAGGAAAACATGTTTAGTAAATGTTAAGTGCTTGTCATTTAGTTGTAAATTTGCTTACCTCCCTTTGACGACAAGTATAAGTATGAAAAAACATCCGTCGAGAGCAATGAAAACAAAATCAAATACACGTTAAAGCTGAATATCGCAGACTTTGGTCTTATTTAGTGCAACATCTGTCACACCCCTCCATAGCACCGGCTAAAGCGGTGTTTGGCATATTAGCAGGCACAGGCCGCATATATGCTCAATTTTATTAGCGTTTGACATGTTTGTACGCCTGAACTGAAATTGTTAAATGAAACAAAATAAAAACGTACTAAAACATGTCATACAGGGTACTTTTTCAGATATATTTCTCCAAATTTCACATATGTTGGCCATTTCAAATTTGTTCGTGTCTAAAAGACCTTGCCTCAACTTTGTAATTATTCCACCAAAAAAGGATCTACACAGACTAATGTGAAGCACGACATTGCCATATGTGAAACATTAAAATAAAATAAAGCTGAACACATTTATTTTACTTACGTTATGTAATTTGCAGGAATCTGCCAGTGGTGTAAATGGTATACATTTGAGCCGCGTCATGACAAAACCAACATAATGGGTTTGCGACCAGCATGGATCCAGACCAGCCTGCGCATCCGCGCAGTCTGATCAGGATCCATGCTGTTCGCTTACCAACTCTATTACAAGTAGAGAAACTGATAGCGAACAGAATACATCCTGATCAGACTGCGCGGATGCGCAGGCTGGTCCGGATCCATGCTGGTCGCAAACCCATTATGTTAGTTTTGTCATGACGCGGCTCATATCATTTCAGGAATAAACGCTCTGATCGAATTTCTACGGAAGCAAACAAATACATCGGGTATTTTGATAAATAGATAACGTTTAAATTATTTTTCAAAAGGCCGAGTGCACTATTTAAAATATGTGTACATTGAAAAACAATGATATTATTAAGCTATATTGGGCATCTGAATGGATGAAAGTTACAAAAAAAAAACCACCCCAAAAACATATTGCATTGTCAATTATAAAACAGTGACATGGTAACCATAAAAGATGTTCGTAAAGGCTGTAACGAAATGAAAATGTTTTAAGTGCGGTTTTATGAAAGTTCCACTCTACAAGTATATGGTCATGATTTGAAGAACATTCATCCCTATAGATTTTTAGTAATTTATTTCATAAGTTAAAGTCAAATTTGATATAAAAATATCATAACAAGGATGTTTGTAATGCATTGTGGTCATCGTTACCTAGACCTTTGACCTTGCGACGCAAAAATCAATTGGGGTCAGATCTACTAGCCAATACCAATGTACCTACTGTGAAGTTTGAGGGCCATGGGTTGTCGAATTGTTGGCCGGAACGAACGGACCGATCGACATTATTGCTACAAAGTTCCGAAGGGAACATAAATACAAACCTTTTCAAATTGTATCAGGCATAAAATGGTACAGGGCGGAAGATATATGCCAATTTCCCAATACCAAATTAGTTTGTAAGTTGTCTCTGAAAAACAATAATAAAACCCCATTAATAATTAAGTATTTCGGATGGATGTTAAA